TAGAAACTCAAAAGCCAACTAGTCAGAAGTATGTCTGCAGTGGCAGAAACAAAAGAGATGCCACACCGACAGGGTGGTAAAAGCCAGCTCCCCAAATTGTTCCTTGAACCCTAAACATGCTCCAAGTCATGTGCATGTCTGTATATGCGCCCCCCCCCAAACCAAAACCCGTAAATGAAAAGTTCCTGTAATGTGAAAGAAACAATCACCAGAGAGACAGTCTATTGAATGAATGGTAGGAATCTTGCCAGCTATTCATCTCCAAGAGGATCAGTATCTGGAACATGAAAGATCAAACACCCAAGAGAATACAGACTACACAGTAAATGGGCAAATGAAATGACACTGCACTTCTCAAATGTAAAGTAGAGCTAGCCGGTAAGCAATCGAAATGTCAACTCTTAAGGCTCATCAGGAAAAGACAAATCAGAGCTACAACTGAGATCCTGTCTCACCCCATTAAGAATGGCTATCACCAAAGGTAGGAGGGGACACCTCTTCTACCTTGTTGTGGAAATGTGAGCCTGTGTACCACTGCAATCACATGCATTGTTAGTGGGGATATAGAATGGGGCATCTGGTATGGAAAAGTTTGAGCACTCTATAAAAATTCCATCAGCTACCAGATTAATCCATTCCCTTTCAATGTACTGTCTGGTGCATAACCTTGAGAACTGAAACGTGATGGTCAGAGCAGTATCCATAACAGTCAAATAGAACCAAACAAAATGCATATCAACTGCTGAGTAAGCAAAATGTGGTATAGCCATAAGTTAGTCAGTCACAGGAAGGAATCAAATACTGAAAAATGTATGTACGATAAACGGTAACTTTGAAAACACTTTGACAAGAAAGGCTTTAACTAGATGATCATTTATGTAAAATTTTCAAAATAAGTAAATTAATATGGACAGAAATATAGTACTTGCCAAAGTATAGTGTTGGAGAGGGTTAATAAGAACTAAATGGTAATATATCCAGGGCCCCTTTAAGGAATGATGGAGTGTTCTGAAATCAGTGATAATAGTTGCAAAATTCTGAATGTGCTAAAAACAAATTATAACATTGAAAGTGGCAAATTTTATAGTATGAAAAATGTATCTTGATTTTTCAAAGTGGCCTTATTTGACATAAAAATGCTATGGCTCTCCTAGCCGAAATCAACTGTGTTCCTCAAGCATGCCTTTTCTCTGCTCTATAATCTTCCTTGTCAAACCATATCTCTAGAGTAGACAACTTCAAAGGAGTTCTTTAATGGCTGTGCTACAGTTTGTAAGATAAGTGAACACTATAGTTCATAAGCCCTATTTCCACCCCAATAAAATAGTCCAGGAATAATTCAGTGGCTTAAATACAGTCAGCATTTGCATAGGAGAAATGGAGTGACTGATCAGGCTGGATTATACCTGCACAATTTTTTAGGTATGTGGAAACAACACACATTTAACAGAAACCATTCTATTTTTGTTCTTTTCCCAACTAATAATACAAGTAGCATTATCTTTTGGGATAAGAGACAGTGGCAATAAGTCACAAGTTCCAGTAAGTTCCAGGATTGCTTATCATGTGACAAACAACCAAGACTCTGCCATTAACGTCAGTGCTCAGCAATCATAGATTGCTCAGAATGAAATATTCAGTAGATATATGCATTTTGAACTTACAGCATTTTCAATTTACAATCGATTTATTCAGACATACTCCATCTTAAGTCAAGGAACTCCAATAGGCGTATCTGTAGATGACAACTATCATTACAAATATGGGAAGGTGAAAACACCATTATAACCTTTGTAGTACCAGACTCAATTTGGACTTAATAGATGTTGCGTGGCATCCACTATATATCTCTATACAGAAATCACTGTGAACTTATGCTCTCAAATCTTATCACAAAGCTTACTAAACATCTTGCTAATTCCAGGACTGAGATGGAAATACCAGATGAACCTGGAACATTTTCTTGGGCATAAAGTTAGAGGACAAAGAATGATATATTCATGTTAAAGGAACATGAAAACATTTGGAAGTAGCTCCCTTTGGCCAAACTTGGGAAAATGTAGCATCAAAATAAAGGACAGTAACAGGACGCTGAGTAAAATAGGAGTCTATTTATAAACAGCTTGATGGGGAATAGTCTCAGAGAAACTGTTAATAAACAGTTAACTACAAAGGGAAAAATGGAGACCAGGGCTCATAGTGAACACCTGTAATCTCAGTGCTTGAGAGGTAGAGGCAGGAGCACCACAACTTCAAGGCTAGCTCACCTACATAGTGAGTCTGGGATGTATGAAAAAAAAAATACAAAGGGTAAAGAAAATGACATAGAAATGAGGCTTGGAAGACACACTGTCATTAAGTGATAAAGTTAGTGTCACTAATTAGGGAGTAAGACAGAATGGAACACATGATTACCTTCTAAAACTAACCTACTTCAGCAGGTAACAACAAGTCAACAGTAAGGGACAGCATACAAAGTAACTGGCTTGTTTCTTCAAACAGCCAGCTTGTTTTCAAAAAGTCATGAAAATAAAAACACCACAGAACCACAATGTCTCAGATTAAAGGCAACTAAAGAGACATGACAACCAAGCAAAACAGGATTCTAAACTGGACCTTGGTGGCTATAGAGGGCATTCTAGAGACAACTCTATTGGGTTAAAATAAAGATTAGACTTCTCAGTTGCTGGGTTTGATGGTTGTATGAAATTATAAACCATGCTTGTTTACAGAAACCATACATGAAAGAATTTAAGGATGATGGGACATCTTATCCCCCAACTTTCAAATGGTATTTGTACCATTCTTATGGCTATTCTGTGCATATGAGATTGTTTCAACTATGAAACTGCTGTATGTGTATGCCAACTATAAAATGACTGAATGAAATAAAGCTTTTAATAAGGTATATTAGGCCTTTAATCCTGGTATACTGGAGGCAGAGGCAGACAGCTCTCTCTGAATTCAAGGCCAACCTAGTCTACACAGAGAATTCCAAGACAGCTAGGAATAAAGGTGAGACTCTGTCTCAAAAATGAATAATAACAAAGTTATTATCTGTACATACAGAAAAATAAAATTTAATACATCTACTCATTAATTTTGGTTATCTCCATGAAGACTCCATAATTCAACAGGCATCATACACATTTTGGACTGCTTGGTGATACTAATGAATTAAAATGTGGTACATTAATTTTAGATGTATGAATATGCCACATGATTAAGACTAAACTATACTACATTAATACCTTGGATCCTTGTATTTTGCTGCCCCCTTTAGATTCTGGTATATCAATATAGGACACATGACAAAGAGATAAAGAAATCACTGCGTAACCTGGCTTATATTATACGCTCTAGCAAAACACAAAAACTGCCCTGATCTATCAAGCTTATTATATACAGTAACAAGATGAACTGTTCAGTAAATACCAATTTATTTCATTCGGGGACTAATGTGGCTGCTAAGCAAGTAACTGAAAGGGGTTATTACACTTATTATGCTATAAAATCAAATGAGTTAAAATTTAAGCTTTAAAGTGTTATCTAGAGCTAAGTATAATTTTTCTGTTTTTTTGGAAAATCTGGATATACACATATACAAAGAGATTTGTAGTATTTCCCGTCGTCTCAGAGCTCTGGCGTGTGTGCATATACGTATGTGCTTGCACGCGTGCAAGTGAACTTAGTATACTGCTGCCCTTATTCTTTCTGCTTATTATTATTACTTCGACCAAAGCGTTACAATCACTTCTTTAAGGCTTCCGAGGTTTCATTTGTTGTTATGTACCGCTGTCTGTGACCCAAGTGTGTGCAGTGCTCAGAGGCCACAAGAGGATATTAGACCCCCTGGGACTGGAGTTATAGACATGTGCAGACCAGGAACTGAACATGGATCCACTGAAGAGCAGCCAGCCAGTGCTCTTAGCTGCTGAGCATCTCTCCAGCCACTAATAACTCTTCTTGACTTCAGTCCATCTTATTCTAAATAATCCTATCAACTTTTCTACATCAAAATTTTGGAAAAAAAAAAAAGAGAGAAAGAAAAACCTTTCTGAAACAGAGAGTTAAGAGCACTGGCTACTCTCATGGAGTACCAGAGTCTGATTCCCAGCACTTACATGGTGATCCACAACCATCTGTGACTCCAGTCACAGAGGATCAGATGCCCGCCCTCTTCTGACTTCAGATATACATGTAGAAAAACATGGCCCCAACATAAAAATAATAAAGTAAATATTTAAAAAAATTTTCTGAAACAAAAATAATCTGCTTGCGAAAGATCCAATTCCAATTATTAAAGAATTAGTATTGTACTATTACTTAATAATTTTGATAGTCGGTTTTAAGGATAACCACCAATCCCTCTCAACCCTACCACCTACTTTCTTTCAAACACACTTCAGTGAAATCATAATATAGCACTCAGTTGATTGAATGGCTTCCAACCTCCTACTCTGTTCACTCATCTGAAAGACACCAACAATTTTTATAGATACAGAATCATTGATCTGAAAGAAATCTTAGAGATGCTTGCCTGTTGACTTTATAAACTAGAAATTAACATCAGTTGTTTAAGAGCACATAAAACTCCAGTATTAGTATTCTGTCTGTTACACAGTGGTCCATAACACCCTAGATAAATTTCCAAACCCCGTCTTTCAAAAATGTTGCTTTCATAATTCAGATTGGGCCAGATCTTTTTGTAAAAAAAGTATTTCAGGTGATTGTAAAGAAAAGAACAACAAAATATAGTGGTACTCAACTATAATCCTAAGGTTTAGGTAAGATAAGAGTGCCAGCTCTAGGCCAGCCTGGGCTGCAAAGCAAGACCCTATTTTAACCAACAATAAATAAGATAAAGATTGTGCTTCAGGCTATAGGAAATGACACAAAATAAAGAATGCATTGAGTATATTTTAGCTTTTAAGCACTTAGTTCATAATCTGAAAACTGTCATTTCTGTAGTCGTAATGGAAGTTCCAAAAGATACTCACTGCTACTTGGGCTGAATCCATGAACCTCAAACCAAAATAGTCACTTTCAATCAAGTCCAGGTGATACATAATTTGGTCAAACAGCTCCTGTCCTTTGGCTTTTTTCTGAAAGAGCAAGAAGATGAATTAATAAGTGGTTTAAACAGGGTCATTGTCCTATTTCTGATCTTAGAGAAAAATAGTCTTTTACTTATTTCTAAATTTTCTTTAATGCTTCTTTTCCTCCAATGAGAAGATTCCCAAACATGACCTCATCAATTTCTTCCTTCTTTTTTAAAAAAGAGATTTAATAGATCTCTTTTATTTTATGTGAGTACACTGTTGCTGTCTTCAGACACACCTGAAGAGGGCATTGAATTGAGTTACAGATGGTTGTGAGCCACCATGTGGTTGCTGGGAATTGAACTCAGGGTCTCTGGAAGAGCAGTCAGTGCTCTTAACCACTGAGCTGTCTCTCCAGACCACCACCACCAATTTCTTCTTGATGTTAAGTGATCCCAAATTCATTCACTGTATTTGTTATTTAATTTTACTTTTCCCACCTAATATTTCCACTGGGCCCTTTTCAAGCAAGCTATCACTCTTATTTCACACTGTTAACCTTCTGAACTAGTTCTCTGTCTCTTCCTAAGTATTCTCTGTAATGTAGTTTTTGTTGTTTTTGACTTCCGAGATACTTCCATGTACTTGTCTTTGTATTTTAGGAATGTAAGTTACCTTCTCCATATTAACTGTAACAAGAAAAAACAATCTAGCCCTAAAGTCTATGACTGCTTCATGTAACTCTGATGCGGGCTGGGTAGGATCCTAGAGAAGAGAGCCCCAAGAACCACAAAATCATAGTTAATGACTTCACTTTCAACAAACAATTCCTTTCTCTGCCTCTACTCCTTTTCCAGGTCTTTCTCCTTTCCACCAACAAACCTTCTCCATACTGGGTGGCGAATCCTCAGGGGAACCATGGCACAGTCTGCCGAGGGCTCCCTCCCGCAGCATTACAGCTGCTGCATTCTATCCAACACAACACTAAAGACAGCAACTCATTCCCACTCATTTAACTGTAACTGGGCACAGTTCAGCAGGGAAGGAAATCTGTCCAGGTTAGGGGATTCTAGGATGAAGAATTTTAGAGGCAGAGGATATACAAACGGATGGCACGACCACTCCAAGGTATGGTTAAACGGAATATGTAAGGGAGAATACAGGCAGAAGATTATGGAAGAGTCCATAGCAGAAAGCTTAGTAGAATAAACATGGTCCACGGACTAGACTTGGCCATGAGAAAAGAGGAAAGAGATGAAACCCAAGAGTGCAGGCAAAGGAGTCCAAAAGAGTGGATAGCCTGAATAGCAGGCTATAAGGGAATGGGAAGGAGAGGGAAGGGAAGCCCTGTGAGCTGAAGTCTAGAGCAGAGGGCAGGGTGAGAAGGGCTGAGAACAGCCAAGATGCCACTGGACTCTGTAATAGCTACTTGTGATACAGAGGGAGCATGGAGGCCAGCACCCCCTTTGGTATGCTAATAGGCACCAGCGACAGTCAAGCTTCTTTTGCAACCAAACCCCTCAGAGAGCACAACTAAAGATCAAGACACCATGGGCTTGGAAGGGTGAGAACAAGGTATGTATTCAAAATTCATTTTCTTCAATTATCTTTCTTTCTAGAGACACTCCAGCCTGCAAGCCAAGATTTTCCCATGCTTATCCCAGGCAAGAGGAAGAGTGGGAGGGAGGGAGACAGACAGACGCACACAAGCATGGGACAGAAAGAGGTAGGGGAGAAAGACAAAGGAGAGAGGGAACAAACAGTAGGGGGTGTGAACCGGAACTCTTGCTAATTTTTTCATTTGTTTCCTAGGTTCTATGGACATTCCTCCATGAGCTAGTCTTAAGCAGGAAGTCAGAAATTCCTTTCTTGTCCCAACAGAATCAAATGTCTCATTAAGGAATGTGGGTTTGAGAATGATTTTAACTTTATTTGGGGATCTATTCTATATTAAAGATCCATTTCAAATACTGCTAGTTTCTTTGATTGTTTAACAAATATCTTAGAGCACTTACAATGTGCCGGGTGCTGCTGTAACCACCCACACAGAAAAACAAAACAGGAGGCCACTTGTCTTCAAGAGGCCTATATTTTAAGAAAATAATTACAATGTTGTTAAAGGTTATAAGGAGCTAGATGAAGAATAAATGGGAGATAATATTCAAATAGGAAGACTCTTTTAAGCAAGGAAAATTTCAACGAACTGTGAGTACAACTGTGAGTAGGAAGCAACTGCCTACAGAAATGCAAAGTCCTTACAGTGGAAGGGCTTAAGGCCATGAGGAACAAGTCCAGCACAGCTGGAGCAGAGTGAACAAGAGGAAGGATGACAAATGATGTGTCAGATTCGTTTTTTAAAAAACATTTATTTATGTATTTTATGTATGTGAGCACCCTGTTGCTGATACACCAGAAGTGGGCAAGAGATCCTATTACTGATAGTTGTGAACCACCATGTGGGTGCTGGGAATTGAACTCAGGACCTCAGGAAGAGCAGCCAGTGTTCTTAACCACTGAGCCACCTCTCCAGCCTAATATGTCTGATTCTTAAACCATAAAAACTGAAACTGACTAGGTAAATAGAGCAAGCCCACCACCTCAACAGTCTACAGATACAGGCATTGGGAAGGAAGGGGACAGTTTACTGGGCATGACAAAAATGGTTGGTTTCAAACCATATGGTTTAAAAAGAAAACAGAACTGCTTGTTAAAATTTGTTAATTTTTAAAAAAAATTGAAGATATATTTTTTTAATTGAGTGTGGGGTGGGGTGCACATGTAAATTTAGGTGTTTATGAAGGCAGAGGCATTTACCCCTCTGCTGCTGGAGCTACAGGCTGTTGTGAGTTCTCAGATATGGTACTGAGACTTGAACTTGAGTCCTCTACAACAACAGTACACACTCTTAACCACTGAGCCACCTCTCTGGTCTAACTGTTAACAAATTTAAAAAGTAATAATTATGCTTATTTTATAAAGTGCCATTATCAAAACAGGGAACCCAAAATATTCTTAAACTCTTGATCCCCTCCTCTACCCGTCAATACACTAAAGTGTCCAATTTCCATTACATAAATTCTAAGGACACTTCTAGATTTAGTTTCACATTCCATCAACATTCTGTATTTGTTCCAGAAACAACAACAATATCATCATCAACAACAACAAAACCATGGTCTTTACAATGGTATTTGATATTCTCCTGTCCAAGAATCATTCCCAGCCTTCTGAAATATGATAGCTATGTTCCAGGAGAGAGAATGGGCCTTTTTAAGGTTATGTATTTTACCTTCTTTAATAAGAAGCCAATCTGAACCATCCAATAGTGAAGACATGGGCATTTTCAAATTCCTCAAGTTAGCGATGCCCAATCTAAAACAAACCTCTACATCTAAAACAGAATTTCTTAAAACAATCTGGCTGCTGAAATAGCATGGATATTCTAAAAACTTTCATTCATAATCCAGTCTACAAGAAAAACCTAGTTCATAATAATGTCAGAGTAACTAAATGCTTATTAGCCAACAACACTAGTTTAAACATAACAAACGTGCTACAAGGGCTATTTTTTGCAATAAAGGAATGACTGTAGGAATGATCTGCCTCAAAGTACCAATAGCTGCAGAGGTTTTGTTTTAAATTGAGCCTAAAAGAATAAATGCAGCTTTGCTACCCTCAGTGCAAACAAAATAAAGACAGGAGGAGGTCCTGAGTCTCTGGTGGCATTGAGAAAAGAAACAGACAGGAGGCAAGCAAGAGTCAGATGAGCAGGCACAGGTACCCACAAAATGCAAAATGTTTCCTCTCCCCCATTTCCTCCCAGACCCTCCCCACTCTTCCTCTCCCCCATTTCCTCCCAGACCACCCCCCCACTCAACTTTGTTCTAACAACACTAACAACAAAAACAAAGGTAACAACAACAACAACAACGGGTAACAAAAATGTCAAGATGTAACAAAGCCCCATGGAGTTTGTTTTGCTGGCTCACTACTCCTGCACAGCTCTGTTCTGCATGGAGTTGATATGCCCAGTGACATCCCATTGGAAAAAATGATTTTCTCTTTTTCCGCTGTCTTCAGTTACAAATAGCTTCCTGATTAGGGGTGGGACATGTCCACATCCCCCTCTCAGTGCCAGTACAGGTCTTATGCATGCTGCCACAGTCTCTGTAAGTTCCTATGTGCATCCCTTATCAGTCCAGTTGTGCTGGAATATACAGCTTGCTTAACATCATCCACTACCTCTTTCCAAACCCTCCTCTTTCCTGCAGATCCCTGAGTTTTGAGGGGAGGGTTCTGGTGAAGACATCTTATTTAGAAGTCTTCCTCTCTGCAAACTGTCCAGTTGTGGTTCTCTGTGTCAATTTCTATTTACTGAAAAAAAAGCTGATGAGGTTTGAACAAGGCACTGATCCTCTAGATTAATGATTAATATTGTGGGGCCCAGTCCACTGTGGGCAAGTGGCTCTGGGTTCTATTTGTATAAGAAAGCAAGATAAAAAAAGCCAGGAGGAGCAAGTCAGTAAGCAGGCCACTGTTTCAGGTTCCTGCCTTCAGTTTCCCTGATGAAGGACTGCTAAAGTGTATGGCAAATAATTACTTTCCTACATGATGCTTTATTACAGCAATAGAAAACCTAAGGTAAACCAAGTAGAAAGGGAAACCTGAACAGTTCTAGGCCATTACAAATCCCATGTCAGCTGCCTCTGTCCTAGAACCACTACTTAGTTTCTTTCTCCCCAACAAATGACTCCAGGCCACTATCTCAGTCAGACCAGTCCTCCCTTCACATTCTATTCCAGGAACATTAATGTTGGAGATTTGATTTGTGCTTACATGGTCTACTCCCCTAATTGGGTCAGGGATAGCAGAGATAAAATATTAGCAAATATAAATCAGGAATATCAGAGGGGAAAGTGGGTAGGTCATGTGGAGTTAGGGAGAAGCCCAGCTGTTAAGCTAGTTAGGCATATTGAAATATAAAGGACATGTGTGTGAACTCTGGTGGGTGGAGAAGCGCCATCACCCACCAAGAGCTCAGAGTGGATTAACAATTTACAGCTACAAATTAAGATGACCATGGCATTACCTTTTACTTCTATGTTTATTAAGATTTATTTATTCTATCTATGAGTACACTATAGCCGTTTTCAGACACACCAGAAGAGGGCATTGGATCTCATTACAGATGGTTGTGAGCCACCATGTAGTTGCTGGGATCTCTGTAAGAGTGGTCAGTGCTCTTAACCTCTGAGCCATCTCTCCTGCCCTGAAGGCTTTTAAAAGCCTTTCTTTTCCTCAGAAGGTATTTATTTCTGCCAGAATATTCTTCCTCTGCATATACAAACCCAATTCCAAAGGAACAATTTTCCTATTCCTTGAAACAAACTCAATGTTTCCCTCCTGAGTCATTTTCTAGCTGGTAACCTTTCATTTTCCCTCCATGCACCTGCTCAAACAACTAACATGTTAAAAGCAACTACTATGTCCAAGGGAGTATAGAAAATTCCAAACTACACAGCGACCACTGATAATTCCTTTTACTTTCTAAAAGCTGACTAGCAAACACATTTGCCTACCACAGTACTCTTCTCCACTCCCACTGTTTACCCGCTCTGTGACAGCTGACTCTTCTCTCAGAATTTTCCACACCATGAACGTGACCCGGTCCAACAGTGTGCTCATCCCCATCCCTTCCCCTCACCTCCTCACGTGCTAAATAAACATTCCCTTCTCTGAAATCTCCCATCTCCTCCTAGCTGCACTGCTTTAGCAGTTTCTAGTCCCACCCCTCCCCCATTCCAAATCAAGTCTATCATCTGTATTTACAATTAAATGTCATTTTATACATATTCTCTGGCTACAAAAACAACAAAACAAAAACACAACACCCAAACAGACATATACACAAAATATGTGGTTTGGGGTTTTTTGTTTGTTTGTTTGTTTCTGTTTTGAGGGGTGGACGTTTAAAAAAAAAGCTTAATTAAAATGTAACTCATATCCCATTCACCCATTAAAAGGATGTAATTTAGGTTAGGTCTGGTGTAACAGACTTTTAATCTCAGCACTTGGGAGGCAGAGTCAGGCAATGTCTGAGTTTAAGTCTAGGCTGGTTTATATATAGTGAGTTTCAGGCCAGCTAGGACTGCATAGTGAGACACTGTCTCAAAAACAACAGAAATATGTAAGTCAATGGATTTTAGTACACGTTTTCATTACCTCTAAAACAAAGTCCGTAGCTATTACTTTCCTATCACCTCTCTGCCAGTTCCCAGGTACCTACCCCAAGCAACCACTAATCTACCTTTTCATTTCTATAGCTCTCCCTGTTCTAGGCTTTTGTAAAACAAATCAAAATATGTGGTTGTGACTGGTTTCTGTTTTCTTTTTAAAAGTAATTACTTTTTAAATATGCATTGGTTTATTACTTACATGTATGTTTGTGTGAGGGTGTCAGATCTCCTGGAAGTGGAGTTACAGACAGTTGTGAGTCACCATGTACCCTCTTGGAATTGAATCCTGGGTCCTATGGAAGAGCAGTCAGTGCTCCTAACCACTTGAACCATCTCTCCAGCCCCATGACTGGTTTCTTTCACTAGCATCATCCACGTTGTACAGATATCAGTAGTTCATTTCTTCTATGGGTAGTGACTTGACTTTACTATATATCCTGATATCCTCAGTTATTCCCACTTTCTGGCTATTAGAAACAATGCTGCTAACATCTACACATTTTTGTGCAAGTACATTTTTAATTCTCTTGGATAGATCTTGAGAAGTAGAAACATTTAATCACAAGGTAACAGTGTTCTATCATGTAAATAGCTATGGGATTGCTTTCTAAAGCAGTTGCTTTACATTTCCCAATCTGAGAATCTGAGAATCCTGATTTTTCTACATTCTCTCCAATACTTGATATTATCTCACTTTTGAGCCTTCTTACTTGAGTGTGAATATGTATTTTACTGTCTTCTAAGTTTTGGTGCTGGAGCTTACAGCCAGGCCTCATGCATGCTGGCACACACTTGGCCACTGAACTATGACCCCTGACTCTGAATACTCTTGTATTTGTTCTCATCTATTTTGTATGTTTGAATCAAACAACTTCTACTTAGATCTTTTGCTTATTTTTAAATTGGGTTGTCTTTTTATTGGTTTGCAATAATTCTTTATATATTCTAGATACAAGTTCTTTATCTGACATTTAATTTTGAAGTAATTTCTGTTATTATGTTGTACAATCTTTTACTTAAGAGAAGCCCTTTGAAGGGCACACACTTTTAATTCTGATTACATCCAATTCATCTTCTATTTTCTTTTTTGTTACTCATTATATTGACATTATCATCTAAGAAAATAAATATTCCTACATTTTCTTCTAAAAATTTCAGTTTTAGTTATGTTTCTTTGATTTATTTTAATTTTTATTTGTGGTATGAGAAAAGGGTTCAACTTTATTCTTTTGCATGTAGTTATAACCATTTGTTGGAGAAAAAAAATTCCTGTTTAACAGTATTAGTATCCTTATCACAACTCAACTAAATGTATGCAAAACACTTAAACACATAAAAATAAATAAGTCTTTAAAGACTGTTGTTAAAGGCCATGGTTTTGTTCCCAAAGAGGTCATATCTAAAACTGACTGTGCTGCTGCAGTTGTTTCTTGAAGTGTCTAGAACCTGATAAAGGAATCAGCAGACCCTTCCAGTCAGTAAACAGCTGCGGCTCTGCTTCCTTTGGAGGCTGACCACCACCTTCCTCCCCTACAACTTTCCTGCCCTTTAGAAAGGCTTCTCTACAGATTCTCTTAGTACAGACTACCCATCAACAACCCTAAGGCTTCATAGTTCAAATATTAGGTAAGACATTTTTTTTCAGGCTCTCACATAGCAATTTCAGGCTTTCCACTAAACATTTAACAATATTTTAATGGCCTAATACACAAAAAACTCTTCAAGATTCTTATCAAATAAAAAAGTAAATATGAAAACTATCCTTACTAAGTATCTCATGTTGAAATAGCTCACAAACTCTCAACAACCCATTATAGGAAGAAAATCTAGATGCCTTAAAGTTTACAGATTCAAACACTCTAAAAATGTACATTCCAGTGTCCATGTGAATAACAAGCACACACAATGAGGACTTGCAACACTGCTAGAGAGCTGGGTGTGGTGGGCACACCTGTGAGCCAGTACTCAGAAGGCTGAGGCAGGAGGATGGTAAGTTTCATAAAAGCCTGAGGTGCATTCCGAGACCACCACCACCACCAACAAAAACAAAGAAACTGAACCTGGCAAAGTACCCAATTCTTCAGCATTTTAGGCCTTTCAGAATTTATTCAACTACATATCAAAGACACAAAGAGTCATCAATTTTCCAAACAGACTGTTCAAACTGAATTTTAGTAAAAGGTTAACAGGGACGGCAGACATCAGGAAATATCCAAAGAAACTCATATCAAAATCACATAATTTATAGTTTTGTCTTTGACACAGAACAAAGATTTTGTTCTTTGAAAACAGAACAAAGAGATTTAGTACCTATAAATAGTTCTGAAACTCAAACCCGGCACAGCAGTACACCCAACTGTACTCCCACATTTGGCAGCTGAGGCAGGAGGATCAGAAATCCAAGGCCAATCTGAGCTACATATTGTGATACCGTCTATAAACATGAGCATGTGCAGACATGAACGGAGTTAATTCACATCAACAACTGCCCTACCATGTGTGTCTGTGTGTGAGTGTGTACATGCAGACATGAACAAAGTTAATTCACATCAACAACTGCCCTATCAATCAATCAATGTTTCCTACAACTGCCATGCACTCCAGGTCCTCTGGGCCTACACTTCCTCGTTCGTGCATGTCCATGACTGCTCCTGTGCCTGATCCATACTCACCCTACTGTACCTAGCCCCCAGGAAGCACAGGCAGTAGTGATCTCACACACAACTAGCAGCTGACAAAGCCCTACTTACCGGCAAGTCCACACTGACATCTGTACCGTCCAGAAGGGACACCCTGCATGTGATGATGGACTTGGCATCGCCAGCCGCAGGAATATGTGTGGCAGCACGCTGTGCCTCTCGGAGTCGCTCCTTTTCAGCATGCTTGCGCATAGACCTTCGGCCAAGCGTTCTTCGCAGGAAGCTCAGCATTTCTGCCAATACAAAATCAGTGAAAGTGACAGCAAAGAAAAGCAGTAACTTGTAGTCAAATTAATGGTGGTATTTAGTAAAGGCTATAGGTGTTAATTTGAAAAAGTTGAAACACATTACTTTTTATATATATTTCAAAATGTTGAATACAATAAATTCAATTTTTATTTCAAAAATAACTTTTAAAGCTAGATTTTAACATAAAGTTTTAAAACACTTATTAAGACAGAGCAATGAATGCTTCAGCTTTTTAGTGTCTTATTTTATAAGGAGCTAATCTGGCAGGAGAAAGCAGTCATACATGGTGTGCATCAAGTGTCTGAGACCAGTAAGTGGTACCTAAGGTAGGTGAATATTACACAACAGCGCCAGACACCGATGAGGTAGACTCTGAATTTTTTTTTCTAAACTGAGCATTCAAGATACACATAATTGCTGGCGGTGGTGGCGCATGCCTTTAATCCTGGCACTTGGGAGGCAGAGGCAGGTGGATTTCTGAGTTCGAGGCCAGCCTGGTCTACAGAGTGAGTTCCAGGACAGCCAGGGCTCCACAGAGAAACCCTGTCTTGAAAAACCAAAAAAGAAAAAAAAAGAGATACACATAATTATTTATTTTAGAAAAGTTTAAATAAATTTAAATTAAGTTTTATTGCTTAATGTTCTACTAAGAACATTAAAGTTAAACAGTTAAAATAGTTATATAAAAATACTACTAGTAGTAGGATTTTTAAAAATGCTACTAGTTATATAAAAATACTGTACATTATAACTGAAAACACTAAACATAAGATTGGAAGGAAACACATAGACTGCAAACACCATACACAGTTCCTTCATAAACCTAACGTCTTTAGTTTTTCAACCAAGAGACTCTGAGAAAAGTAAACATTAACTAAGTACACATAAAGACAATTCCAGGAAAAAAAAACAAACCAAGAGTGTAACAGGGGAAACAGCCAGAGCATACAAACAGCCCAAGTTGTCAGGCTCCTCTACCACAGCGCTACAGTAACTACCCTCAGGAGGTGCTCCAAGAGGCAGAGGATCCAGTGTGGAAACAGCTGCTCTCAACGCACCAGACAGCTTAAATTTTCAAATGAGGAAGGAGCACTAGGAACACAGGAAAGCAGATGCTCAGGAGAGGAGGCAGCAAAATTCCAGGCACTGCTGATTTTTTTTTTTAAGCCTCCAAATTAAGTTATTATTTCAACTAGATGTGGCTATTGATCTGCTGTTTTCAAAAGGATAATTTTTTTGTTTTTGTTTTTCGAGACAGGGTTTCTCTGTGTAGCCTTGGCTGTCCTGGAACTCACTCTGTAGACCAGGCTGGCCTCGAACTCTGAAATCCGCCTGCCTCTGCTTCCCAAGTGCCGGGATTAAAGGTGTGTGCCACCACTGCCCAGCTCAAAAGGGTAATTTTAAGATCATATTACTATATTAAGATTTAAATACCCATGAACTGAAAAACTACCGAACATATTTTATAATAGCATTTTACAATGTGTTCTACAGATTTTAGCCCCAGAAAATAACTAAAATCTGGGATAGCCAACCAGCCTACAGGCACCAAACTCAGCGGCTCTGTCCAGGGAGTGTTAACTAGGTGCTCAGCCCCCTCCCTCTCCCTGTGGACCCCAGTCTTCTGATGCTCTACTTTAATTAACTCTCCTCCTTCCTTCTAACTCAGCTCCATCACACCCACAGAAAAACATCCTGATGTCATAGTCATCACAACTGCACTGGCACTGAACCTTTTATTATAATCAGATAATTATTTTTATTCTTTATTATAAGTACCTTGAGAGCATAATCCTTATTTTCCTTCTGATTTTTATATATGCTTTATTTTATCACAGAAGTCTTTAAAAAAGAAAACAATATTCAAAATGCACTATAACTTCACATTTCCTATAAACTACCAAACTGCTTTTCTTACTGTCACCTTACCCTGTTGCTGTAAAGAATTACTCTAAGTTATCTAAAGAAAAACATCTTTTAGATTACTGTTAGTTTGAACAATAAAACCCAATATAGTGAAGAATAGCAAGTTCTTTTCACAAATGCATGACAGCATGAAATAAAATAAACGTTTCAAGCAAAAAACTGGGAAAGTATTCAAAGGACATAGAATAATAGGGTAAAAGAGTTTTAAATAATTTCTGGAAAAAGGTATTTTGAAGGATAAAACTGTAGTTTAATAAAGTTATTACAAATCATCTGTCTCTACAGCAATAGCTTGGTGACAGAGTGCTTGTCTGACATACACATGGTCCTATATAAGAAACCCAGAACACAGAACCGTATTAACTAGATAAACAACCCAACAGAAGAAAATGGGTGACATGAAACAGGACATTCCAAATGAGAACTGATAAAGTAATTCTAGCATTTGGAAGGCTAAAATAGGAGCCTACTGAATTCTAGGATAACATATAGGTCTATATACAAATAAATTCCAGGTTAGCTTGAGCTACGTTAGAAAAGAAAAAAAGGTAAGCTGGTGGGCAACACTGATCAGTGAGTAAAGGCCCTGGAGGCAAAGCCTGGAAGCAGACAAGCAACTCTGCAACTGACATGCAGGTGTACCAACCCCTGCACCAGGATTAACAAAGATTCCAAAAGCAGACAAGATCTAAACTGAAAAGTAAGACAGAAGCCAGGCCCGGGGACACATCCTGTAATCCCAGCACTGGGGAGGAGGAGGCAGGAAGATCAAAATGATCCCTGGCCACATAGCAAGTTCTAGATCAAGTGAGGCAACATGAGACACTTTCATAAACAAACAAAACAGCAAAAAGATAAAGTTAAAAAGCGAGACGCACCTAACAGATTTGAAGGTTTAGATTAGACTTCTAGCAAGACCTCTAGCACTGCACAAGCATAAAGTCCAGGAAAGTGGCCTGTCCCTGTCTCGGCAGGAGAACCGGCTTCTAGAGGCTGTTTCTGACATCCACATGCGCTCTCTCTGACAAGTGCGCTCCCTCTCCTCCCTCTCCCTCCCCCTCCTCTTTCCCCCCCCTCAGACACACACACACACACACACACACACACACACACACACACGGCTGTGATGGCTGAGGTCTTGGTTGGATCTCCATATAACAGGAAAATGGAGAGAGAATGCTTATATACATTTTCAGACACTGTCCTATTTGAACAAGTTATTAAACTGTATAGACTTCATGTAGCAATTCTATTTCTAAGCTGCAGGAACAAACATTTTTCTTGGCCTACCTAACTTAAGAGACACACAGATAAGCTGGATGGTGATGGCATAGGCCTTTATCCCAGCACTTGGGAGGGAGAGGCAGGTGGATCTCTGAGTTGGAGGCCAGCCTGGTCTACAGGGTGAGTTCTAGGACAGCCAGGGCTACACAGAGAAATCCTGTCTCTAAAAACATAAAACCCAACCATCCAACCAACCAACCAAACTTCACAAATGTATTTATCACAATGCAAAGAATTAAGGGAGTTACAATACACACACTGGTTGTATCCATCTGTTCAACAATACAGTTGTCCCTTTGATTCCAGCACTTGAGAGACTGAGGCAGGTAGATCTCCTGAGTTGGACGTCAACCTGGTGTACATACAGTTCTAGGCCAGCCAAGGTTACATAGGGATACCTTGTCTTAAAACAAACCAAACCTGTCTAAGAGTGAAAGCTAAATTTATAGAAAAATAGATGAAAAATAAAACTAATAGAAAAGTGAAAATAATATTATTCCACTTCTGAGATATAATCCACATCCATCCATATAGAAACTACAAACTGCAGATGATTTAAGGGAGATTCTCTTCGTAGAGTAATAAGAATATGTATTGCTTAAGTTTTTAAAATGTTAAAAAAAAAAAAAGCTTTGAGGGTTAGGTAAATAAAAAAAGTGTCCCCATATTTCTGTTCCCCCATTCCACCTGCCCCCAATCCTGGTCAGTGCTGAAGCTGGTGGATTGGTGGATTATCAGCCTCCACAAATCTGATTCTCTTTTAAATCTTTAACAGCCCTGGCTCCTCCTCCTGGGCCTCTCTCTAGCTGTGTGCTCTCAGCTCCAGAGCTTTGCTCAGCTCAAATGTCTAATTCCAGAACTTTCTTACTAACGGTTCTATCTTCCTAGGAAAATCTTTGTGTATTCTATCTCCCATTCTTCTCCCTCTTGAGAGGGTCAGCTCTATGTTTACACATGTAATTTTATTTCCTCAGAAAAGTTCTCTCTGATCCTGTGGCTGAATTAGATGGCCCTGTTATGGTAGTAGGCAGACTTTTCTTTATAACACGGAAAGAGACTGTAATTAAATATTTAATTGACTTCTTTCTTTTTACTGGCTATCCTCCCTCCTACCCCCCACCCCCACAAGGACAGGGACCTAGTCTGACCTATCTACTGACCACACAGCTATCGTGGCAAAGTTGCTATGATACAAATTAGACAATCGATAAGAAAACTAATGTAATAGAGTAAAATGACACAAATTCTAAGATGACAATAAAAGAGACTCATAAAACAACTCCAGCCCCTGAAGGCAGAAGCAGAATTTTAGATACCAAGCCAATCTGGGATATATATATCAAATTCCAAGCTAGCTTGGGCTCCATAGGGAGGAGACACAATCTCTAAAAAAGCAACTGGAAATATGGAGTTCGGAGTTACAAGTACTCTAATAAATTTAATTTCTGACTTTTCAACAATGAGTTTTCTTTTCAATCACAGACATGCAAACTGAAGTGATACATTCCCTTCTTAGCCAAGAGCTGCTTTCCACCACCCCAAGTTCATCCATTACTGACTTGCCAATTGCAATTGCCAATTGTACCTCCTCCCCTTTTTGGCTCTTCCTGTTGCAGTGCTAAGGACTGATCCATGCTTTACCACCACGGGGTATCTCCAGCCAAGACACTGATTTTTTTTTTTAACAGTAATATTGAAAACCATAGAAAATGTCCTAAAATTATCAGTATCTTTCATCCCAGTTACTCCCGTAAAAGAAAATGTAACCGAGAAACTAAACGCAGGAACATAATGCACATCGCTTTCCAAACCAAGTTATCCTAACAAAACAAAAAACAGGTGCCAGTATTTAGATTTACCTCACCCTAGCGCGCTCCAGAACCCTGGTTAGGTTCCCAGCATTGAAAGAAAGACGAAAGAAAGACAGAAAGAAAGACAGAAAGACAGACAGACAGACAGACAGACAGACAGACAGAAAGAAAGAAAGAAAGAAAGAAAGAAAGAAAGAAAGAAAGAAAGAAAGCGAAAAGAAAGAAAAAAGAACGAAGTGGGGATTGGGGAGAAAAAGAAAACTAACAAGCAGTGCGCAGTGCCTCACTCGGCTCATGCTGCAACTGGGGCTAGCGGAGTTGTGAATTACATTCATAATTTCTTGGTGGACTTATTTCTAATTCTTAAAAACAAAAACAAAAACCCACTACTAATAATTTTGAACTTGCTAAACAACTTCGGAGACTGGAGTCTTCTTGCTCTTAAAGGAGAACCCGGGAGACTAAAGTAACCACAGAGACGGACACAATTATTTTCTACCCACGGGAGGACTCAGGATTACCCGATGCGCGCCACGCGTGGGGGCGGGGAGCGCGCTCGGCCTTGGCAGTTCCCGGGAACGCACCTGCCTCATACGATTCCCAAGTTTCACTCCACCGAGAGCTAGCTTGCACGTCCGGTCCGGTCCTAGCTTGCCCACGATCCTGGTGAGGTGACACTCGAGACGGCTTTCCCCTAATCCCACGGCTACACGGAGGTCAGGGGTGACCAGAGTTCCTCCCACGACGCGCGGGACCCCGGCAACGCGCTCGGCCCTCGGCGGCCACCGCGCGGTATCGCCCAAAACTCAGCGCCCAGCCCCATTGGCCGTCGCCGCCACTCCCTCCCAGCCCGCGGCGTCGCCCGGGGAGCCGGGCCGCCCACCCGGCAGGGTCGAGAGTCTCCGCTCCTTGAGCAGAGCCAACTGGAGACCCGGGGCCAAACTCTTACCTGTACTCGGGGGTGAACACCGTGAAGCGACGGGGACCACTCCGACTGGGGCGCGAGACCCTCGGAGAGAGACGCCCAGCTGGCTAGAGGAGAGGACGGGTCTCCAGAGACCTGGAGAAATGGCGGCGCGAGGCGTGAGCCCACCCTGCGCTAATCCCCGGAGGACCCCGGCCGCCCGCGGGCACGCCCCTTAAAGCCCCATCCAAGGTCCGCCCCCCGAAGGGCGGGGTGCTCCGCTCTTAAAGGGGCAATGGCACCGCCCCGGAAATCGGCCTCTGGAGACTCAATTTAAGCTGGCAACATGAGGTGGGGCCGACAAAAATAAAGAACTGCAGCTCACCTTTGATCCCAACACTCCAGAGGCACAGGCAGGTGGATTTCTGTGAGTTTGAGGCCAGCCAGGTCTTAGTGAGTTATAGGTCAGCCAGGACTGCATTATTTTTTTCTGTGTGTATATGTAAAGATATGCCACAGTATGAGAACAACTTGAAGAAGTTGTTCTATCATGTGAGCACAGGGGACCGAACTAAGGTCTTCAAATTTGGAGTGAAGCACTTTTACCACTAAGCATCTCGATGGCACTTGGTTTTATGTTTTGAATTTTTCACTTTCCTGGTAATATAATTTGAAAATGAAACGTAGAGTTTAGGATACAGTTCTGTGGTAGGGTGTTAGACTAGCCCATGCTATGCCCTGTATCCAATCCCTGGCACAGCAACAATGAGATGTTTCTATTTTTAATGTAGTCTGCTATATCTGTTTTTCTCTTACACAATTGTTTATTAATTGATCCAGCATTCATTTAAATGTTCCCTTCCTCACCTACCCCCAAATTCAAGAGATTAAAGTAACCTTTAGTCTGTAATGGGGAAAGAGAACAAACAAATACTTGTCAAGTGGTGATAAGGCCCCTGGAGAAAACGAGGCTAGGAAAGGGAAATAACAGAATGATCTTCGTGCACTGTGGTCACGGAAGGGAGGTCCTGAGTAGCAGGGCGACATTCCATTCATTCATTCTTCAGATAGTTTATCAAAATGCCTACTGTGCTGTAGGCCCTAGAGATAAGGAGATAAAGAAAGACAGGAGTCCCTCAAGGCAACCATAATTACAAAAGCCCCTTGGGGGCTGAGTAGTGAGTTCAGGGCCAGCACTGGCTACATTGAGAGGTTCTATCATAATTAAACAAATTATTTCATGGCCAAGTCTGTATGAGTTATTTCATGATCAAGCCTATATCATCCTTGTACCTATAGCCCTTGAGGCAGAAAGATCACTTAAGCCCAGAAATTTGAGGCCAAATCTACCTAACACCATCTCAAAACGAAAAAGAAAATGCTGTAGGATATATCTCAGTACACAAATTCCTTGGCTTGAAACATGTTTAATTGGCTGTTTATAAATTACGAAAGAGAGAAATAACAGTGGGTTGTGGGGTCAGGGAATGAAGGGTTGCAATTTTAAGGAGGAAGGCCCAGAAGGCAGTTGACTTCAGACCTAAAGTAGGTGAGGAAATAGCTCAGTAGACATCCCTGAAAAGCATAAACAGCAAGGGCAAAGGACTGCGTTGACCTACTCAAGGGCCCTAATTAAACTAAAAAAGCAAGGAGGGCGGAAGGGTCTGGAACCAGGGTTTCATGGGATCTTGTCAGAAAATTAGTGTGTATAGAGGGAAGATCCAGCTCACTGAAACCAGAGTACACAGTTTCTGGGGATTTGGCATGGTCCATGCCTGTACCAACAGCTCTTTCTGTTCCCATGGCGTTGCTAGGATATTGTCAGTTACCTGTGTGGACTCAGCTGGGGGCAATGGAGCAACAGCTAAGTACTACACATAGCTCTACCCATAGAGCCTTGGGGTGGAGAAATTAAAAACTGAAGTTCCCTGCGGATTAGGGACAATACCAAGAAACCAGCATCATTTCTGCTGCCTGGTACTGATTTCTAAAGCAAGTAGTTTCACCTGGTAGATGCACACACATCCAAATATTATGCAACATCTATGTGATGGCATAATTAAAAAGAATGAGTTGGGCTGGTGATATGGCTCTGTAGGTAGACACTTAGAACCAAGCGTGATGATTCCTTGATTCCCCAGGACTCACATGGTGGAGAGAACTGACTCCTTCAACTTTTCCTCTGACCTCTACAAAAGTGCTGTGTATATACATACATAGTCATTCATGCCACTCAACACCCCAAAATAACTTTTTAAAGAATACAATAGATGTGAATATGCTAATATGGAAATATCCTATGATGAAAAACAAAGTTACAGGCTATATCATATAATCCTACAAGCATAAATGTTTATGTATATACAAATATACATTTTCCCAGAAAGAAAATAAAAGAAATTGAACAGAGGTCATCGTTGGTGTGATGTGGCTTCCTATAAAAGATTTACATGCTCTGTCTTCATGCACACCGGAAGAGGGAATCATATCCCATTACAGATGGTTGGGAGCCACCATGTGTGAATTGAACTCAGGACCCCTGGAAGAGCAGCCAGTGCTCTTTACTGCAGAGCTATCTCTCCAGCTCTTCTCTCCATTTTTGACACAGGATCTCTCTGTGTTGCTTAGCCTGGCCCTGAACTCCTGGCCTAAAGTGATTTTCCTACTGAACCTTTAAAAATAGCTAGGACCACATGCATAGTGATGTCATTGTAACTCCCTTAATGAATCTTTTATCCTGTATGCACCCTAAAGCAGTTATTGGTTGCTGGCTGTAGTGGTACAGCACTTTGATCCCAGCACTTGAGAGGCAGAAGCAAGCAGATCGAGTGAGTTCAAGGCAAATCAAAGCTACCTGAAAACAAACACCTCCCTCAAACAAACCAAACCAAAACAAACAAAACAAAAACAAAACAAGACAAGACCTGGTAGTCTTTACTTTTTCCCTTCCTCTAAGATGTAAAACAGCAGGCCTGACTGTACCTGGGAAGATGAGATTCAGACTGATTTCAAGAGAAGAGAGTTCTTTTGAGCGACGACAATCCCAGTCTTGCTCTGGGATTACAGGAGGAGTAGTAGCTACAAGGAAGGAGACTGCAGATACTTTTTATTCTCTGGGGAAACAGGGAGATGGGTCAATGGCTAAGAAAGCTTCCTGCTCGAGTATGAGGACCTCAGTAAGGATTCTCAGAACTCATGTTAAAAGCTGAGCACAGGTGTGCCTGCAACCCTATGCTGTGGTGTTAAGAGACAAAACATGACAGGCTTGCTGGCCAGCTAGGCTAGCTTGAAAATAAACAGTAGGCTCTAGGTTCAGACCTTGTTTCAAGAAAATTAGGTGGAGATAGAGCAAACACCAAATGCCCTCTCCTGGCTTCTACAAGTATTAGCATAGGTGGCTGTACCAGTACATACACATGTGCATACACCACACACACATCACACAAAAATTCTTTAATTTTCCAAATTCTCTTTTAAAAATCTCTATTCTCCCCCCTCAGAGAAGAGGCACCATGTGTAGTACTGATTTTAAAAATAAACATCAGGTTTAGCATTCAGTCATCCTTTCTAACTGATCACTCATTAATGAATAAATCACTATCATCAGTCTAACAATAAATCCCCATAAAATAACCTTGAAACGAAGTCATTAGATTACTAAAGCACATCTTTATTGTTCAATTGAACATAAACAGCTAGGTGTTTTTTTTCTTTTCACATTTGTACCTGAACAAGTACTAAATCAAAATGAAATATAACCAACAAAATATCTGTAAATGCGTTTTGCATAATATAAATTGAGGTTAGGACTAAAACAGTTTCAATGCAAACCAGCATTTTTATCCTGTTCACTGTTGCTATGTGTGGATTGTTTAAAACATGAATGGCAGGAATTTTTACTGAAATTAAGACACACCCACAATGCCTTTCAGACACACAGTAAACTGCAATGACAAGTGCACAGTGATCATTTCAAATAGTCCAGTGTTGACCAAATTCAAGCTTATGCATTTTATGTTTTCATTCTTAGCTTCTTTGCCTCTTAATCTAAGACAAACCATATGGAGATATTTTTGTACAACTGGGAGGAAAGGTAGTCTACAATCTTAAGGGACTAATTCCATTCTGCTATTAGTTCAGTACAAACCATGAAATGGAAACAGAAATGAAAAATACTTTAATAAGGAAATAAACTAGACCTTTAACCAAGCAAATTCTGACTCCATATTTACATATAGCACCTATTACAAGAAAAGAAAGTTCCCAAATTAAAATATCCTCTACCTAAAAATAATTTTTAAACTACTGTTTAAAATAGTATTGATAAGTATAAGCTATCAGTCCTAAAGTTAACCTACACTGTAGAAAACAAGGACTAGCCTTTCTTACTTGAAAAGCTCACAGCATAGTTTAGAACTGGTGTGTTCTGATGCTGGAGACCACTGGGGTAGACAACTTTTTTTTTTTTTTTTACAGCAGATATACTATACTGGCAGAATATGAAAACAGCTTAATATAAACTGTTACAACATCATAAATTCTGCCCTTTGTCTTCCATATAAACTATGACCTCGTGGTGCAGTATCTACTTAATCTCTAGGTACTACACTGAAAACAAACAGATTTCCAAATATTCATGTGATGTCCACAAAATGCAGAGCAGAAAAACAGTTTTAGTAACAAAGCTTGGCTAAAGCTAGCTGAGAGAAATTAGTCCAGCAATATTGTCAGCTGGGCAGCCTCTATTGTATTATACAAATTACAGGAAAATGGCAGAGCTAAAATCACGTAGGTTACCTCTTAAATAGCAAAGAAGCTATCAAGAGATCATTATAAAGCATTTAAACTTGGGGCCAATCTAATAAACTCTACTACTAATCAATTGCTTTTCTGTATTTACAAAACTCCTAGGACATTTTTAATGTATAAATTAAGTCAGTAGTAAGCATGAAATAAAGTGCTATTTGAAAGCAATTTTAGTACTGAAAAAGGACCCACTCTATAGGATTCAGGAATGAGGAATCTTGCTAACTCACTGAAAAACTGGGAAAAATGAATCCAGAGAATCACAGAATTGGGCTGAATCTTCCTTCCCCAGGAAGGCAAATAACTTGGAATACTATATGAGTGGGAAACAAAAAATGTTTAAAAGGTAAACTAAGCCCAATTGTGACTATAGTGGATATGAAGACTTACAGCAGATGAATAGTAAATCTAGGGAAACCAGGAAGCAGCAACTATCTGGGCCAAAAAGGTTAAAGAAAGCTATCTCCTTGATGATCCTTGGCAGTGACTTTATTTAACAATGCAACTTCTAAGTCGTCATTTAGCAGCGCTAAACTTTGTAACTGCTGGGATAGAGGAAATCTACCACTAACCGTGGATCACTTTTTGGTTGTTCAGGGTACATCATGATGGGTTAAAATTAGTATGGATGGCTAGAAAAGTGTCAAAACAACGAATTCCCAATTTTCATCAAGTTTAATGACTGATAAATACTAGATTTAAAGGGGCTATTGAACAAATCATTCACACCTACGGGCACTGGTTTAAAAAGTCTTCACTCAGATGAATAAGGTTGTAAGTATATAAGCTACCACTATTACAAGTCAGGAGAGTTGGGCCCAGTAGTCTTACTATCCGTGTCGTTGAAGATACAAAGGGAGATGCGCTAGCACAGTCAGAGGCCTTTGCACATAGTTACTGCAGTGGCTCTCAGGCATGGGTTTCACATTCTCACAATGATGCCCCCACTGGTGGCTGTGACACTGACAAAACTTGGGAACTTTCCTCCATGGTAGACACATGCAGCAGCACACTGAGCCTAACACAAGTGTAGAAATCAATTACTTTACACTCAAAAACAGTATATACAATTTTTAAGAAACATTTCTAGAAATAAACAAAGCAATGTGAAAATGAATGTATAATATATCTGAAATATGCTTTGATAGTGACTACTCATTTACAATGAAATTCCATTTCTGCCAACATTTCATTTTACATAATGACTTGTGATACTCTTCAACCCTTTGCAGATTTTTTTAAAAACATGTATATTTAGAATCAAATAATAACTCTAACATTTGAAAGATACATTCATTTTCTTTACAGCATGAAAGACATACAAACATTATTTTATCCCTTTAAGCAATGAAATTAAAGTTAACAGTTTTAACCTTCTGTTCATAGAAAAATATTTTCTGTATATCATTTACATAATAATAGGAAAACTCTACAGTGTTTAATTCAAACTTTTATGACCTTAACAAGGCTTTCTTTTTCATCCTTATACTGGAAATTTTACAAGGCTCCAGGAAGTTAAACGTTTGAACTCTTTCTTAACAGTCTAGTTTTTTTTTTTTTTTTTTAAACTTTATTTATTTATTTATTATAAGTACACTGTAGCTGTCTTCAGACACCCCACAAGAGGGCATCAGATCTCATTGCAGATGGTTGTGAGCCACCATGTGGTTGCTGGGATTTGAACTCATGACCTCTGGAAGAGCAGTCAGTGCTCTTAACCACTGAGCCATCTCACCAGCCCCAACAGTCTAGTTTTTAACTTGTAATATTGCTAATACCTTTCTGCAAATGGTGTGCTTGTTTATGCACTGAACCATACCTAGCCAATACAACAGATGGACTACCCACAAGCAGCTATGACTAATGGCTGCCCATTTACCTTTGGAGGACTAAAAAAATAAACAATGACTTTAGAAATCAACAGTATACCATAGTAGAAAAAAAAATAAGCAGCAACACACTGGTATATGGAAACAGAAAATAACTTTATGGTATCTACTCAAAAGAATTCAATAAGGCATGAAAATCAAGTAATTGTGGGCTGGAATATATGGGTTGTTGTTTCTGTTAACATAGAGAAATATAATAATTACTACTAAGAGTAAATGAAATCCATGCAAAATAAGAACTGTGGTAAAAAGCAGAACCCAAAACATATAATTCTGGGACAGATTTCTTTTACTTTTAAAATTGATGAAATTATCTATTAACAATTAGCCCTCAAGAAGATTTACAATTACATAACTTTGTTTGCATGTATATAATTCTCTGAGAATTTCATAAAAGTCACTACGATTTGTGATCACACTGAGACACAAATAAATATCTGTTAATAGATTAGTAATTCTGATAGTTGATAAATTCAATCCACTTAATTATAATAACACAGCTGTTTTCCTTGGAGGAAGCACCACACACAGTTCCGGGAATGGCAGCTGGATGGTTGGTGCAAATGTGAGATGTGAGCGATGCTAACACAAAGTACTCGCTTTCTGGATACAGCACCTTGTAGGAAAGTAGACTGTGGGATTACTTAGATACATTTTGCTATATTACGGAGATATTTATTCCAGCAAGTATTCATCATCATACATTTACTAAAAATGACTTAAATACAAACTACAAACTTCATCAGAACTACAAAGTAATTACTATAAAGCCTGTAAACATATCCCACATTGTTGTAGTATAAACAACTTACATGAATTCAAAACTACTTTGGCAACTTTACCATCAGATATTTTAAATATTCAAAACACAGACATTAAATAGCATACTGCTATAAGTTCATGTTTCCTTCTCTCTTCCTGCTAAACAAGCTATATTTCCAATTTCTCACAAGTTCACATGAATATATTATTTTGAAGGTAGGTATAAGTTCTAAATCTCAGTTCCATGTTTTAAGTGCTTTAAAAATGCTTTCCTACTTGCAGTTCAGTTTTATACTACATGTGCATCAGCCTAAATATTTCACAACAGCTTATGCTAATCTGTCAGGGAAGCACCAGCAAACTGAGTCCAAGTCCTAATCGGCATCACTTTTGAAGTCTCCTTTCAAACTTCTAAGTTGTCAAAGGTTCGAAGTGACAACACTGAGCATGCTTCCCAAGTAGAAATAGATAACCTTTACAAGCATTTATCATATTCACAATTTACTGAAGTTATAGCCTAATACAGTGATACTAAGTTGAGAATTAGGAAACCTGAAGATGACCAGATTCTGCTAAATTAATTGCTGGGCCTATGGTCCTTCCTAACAAGGACATAGACACTGGACAAAACCTTTCAAATTTTTAGCTCTCAAGTTGTAGTATTACTCCTAGTGAGACAAGAGATTTTTTTGCTCAAATAACTCATTAGACTTGGTCAGACCTGCCAAGAGATATAAACCCCATGGTTAAAAGTCCATTCAGTCTTTGTGTACATGTCTTTATGAAGTACACATGCAAACCAATGCACTGATGTTTCTCTATGAAGGCACGTACAGTAGTACCCAAAACTTTCCAACAACTGTCCTAATGGCTTAGCATAACTGCATGTGAAGTCAATTTTCATACAATGCTACCTTTATTCTTAAGTAAAAATGATCAATCATTGATCTTTCCCAATTATTTGTCCCAGCAAACTTCACACAAGCTTTTCTTGGGCTGTTTATTCTGCCTCACTTTTGAATGAATCGATTAGTTTAACAAATACAACCTATTCTTTTTGTAAATGCAAAGTCTACTCTAACAGAGCATCTAGGTAGTGCTGACAAAGTCAAATGCCCAAAAAAAGAAGCAGAAAAACCATGTGAATTTAGAGAGGGAAAACTTTCACATTTACTTTTAGCATATACAAAAGCCCTGACTCACAAATACTGACTTTTTACTTGTAAGAAGAAATGCATTCTTTCTTGAGTTTGATAGAGTGTGGGCTTAAGGGTGGTGAGAGAAATGGAAAAGTAGTTTGATTCAAGAAATTTGGTTTTTGTCACACAATATTACATCATTATGTATGGAGTGTAGCACTACTTGGCATATGAAAACTAACATTTCTAGAAACCTATTTAGATTAATAAACTGATTGGGTGCTTAAGTGTAAAGGACAGTGTTATAGGTTAGGTAACTAGGAAAGTTTAACTAGCATATCCATATTAACAATTTGTGAAGGCTAAGTTTAGTTTAAGATCCTAATAAATGTTCTAAAAGGGCTGTTTTCACATATAAAATACTAATGGAGCATAGTTCTCAGATAAGAAATTGCTATGAGAAATTTAAATTTAATTCTACACTTGTCACTTAAAAACAAGCACTGCTGATTTAAAAGGCAGCAATACTCATAGCAGTGCTAACTATAGAGATGTACGCAAAGCTTTACATTAAAGAGCAAAGGAATCATGACACTGCCTTTCTATACAGCTTTTCTCTTTCGGTCTATGGTTGTCACCTTCTTCTACCTACACGGCAAGATTTAAAATTTAGGCTAAAATCCACCAATGAAATAAAATAACTTTATAATGTAGAGAACTCCAACTTGGTTTCCCTTTGTAACTTGTAATGATATCCTACCAGCCAAAATTACATTTGCCTCTGGGTAGAAAATGGAATGTCTGAGCATAATTATAGTTCACTGACTAACTTATATTGTCTTGCATGTGAAATCAGTATAAGGGGACTTCTGTTTGATGTAAAGATTATGTCTATTTCTTTCTTTAAAGAGCAAGACAAGAAATATTTATAAGTGACAATTTATTTGGTACCCTGGCAATTAATATTTAGAAGCTTAATTTCTGAATTTTACTATTATGGTTTCTGAATACATGAAACAATAATTTGTATTTAACTAAAGATTTTTAAATGTTTATCATTCCCCCAACTAAATAGCTTTCCAAAATATCTACCATTGGAACCTATGTTTTATTAAGACTATAGAAGTGATCTGAAACCACTAGCAAATGTATCCATTTTAACCATATCCTATGAAATAACATGTCAACAGGTGAGCAAGTTCTCACATTAAATTGTGCAATTTTAAAAATCTGTCTCCACAGACTTAAAAACAAGGACATCTATAATGGGAACTGGATCTTGCATCAAGATGGACTCACTGACATGCTTATAATTTAGTAGGCATAAATAAACTAGATGACAAGAAAACTGGCATTTTACTATTATGGAGGGTCACATTTAGAGAAAGTCAATAGTGTTTAATTCCTTGTCTGAAGAATCCCAATGAAAAGAGCAGTGTGAAGACAGCCTGATATGACCTAGAATGATGTTTCAGGGCAAAACTTTAGTTATACATGTTGATAACCCAACTAATTAACTTTGCCACTATATCTTAAGAGTACCAATATATTTATCTCTAATGTACATGTTAAACATCACTTTTTAACTTAAAATAAATATGAAATTTGAAGAATAAACCCTCTTTTTAAGTTAAGCTGCTAAACTTTAACCCCTGTCCCTCAGTAAAGGAATGTATAGATTGTGAACAATTCCATAGCAGCAGATGCACTCTCAGAAGAATACAGATATCCTGGCTTTTATGGCAAAATACAAGCAAGCACTGAGTAAGAAACAGAATGTCCTTACCCTTCTTTGTTTGTATAACTCTCAACATAAGAAGCTGTTTTTTTAAAACACTGTGAAGTTATTAAAAATTCATAAAACTATAAGAATGTACAGTATACATACATACCTCCTATGGGGGTCAAATGAGTGCCTTTTCATTAGACAGATATCTCAAGGCACTTAAGGGGTTAAGACACAATGCATGCATTCCTTTACATCAAGAATGTGAAATCACATGATTTGGAATAAGCCAACCTTATGATAAATATAAGTTACATTATTAAATCCAAGAAAATCCGTAGATTCATAGTTATTTCTATAAGATGCTGGTAAATGGACACTGTGCAGCATATCCTGGGAACAGCAAGTTCCCATTTTCTTCTCAACAGCAGGTCCCTACTGGGATGTCAGGGAAGATGTGCTGCATCCACAGGCAGTGTACTGGCTAATGTTGAGAATGGTATTGCTAACATTTGAAAAATAAATCTGGTAATCAGTAGAGTGAGTACATGAACCACTGAAAAAGACCAGAGCAGACTCCTGATGATTACTCCTTTTTGCTTTCAAGGTACAGGTGTGTAATAGAGATGAGAACTCTGAGCCTTGTCTGTGGCAATTCTACCAAAGGGGACTGCATGGCAACGCTTCAAAATTCCATAAATTACCCTGAACATATTCAGTTTCCACTATTTGTTCAGAGCAAAGCACGAAATAGTCAAACATGTGAGTAATAGGTTTTGAGTGACTTTTTAAAACTTAAAGTGCAGTAGTGCTGAAGTGCTCGAAGTCTTTTTGAGTCTTCACTTTTTGTGTGAGAGGCCATTTCCTGCAAGCAGTATTATGGCACAGTGAACATTAACAAAAATCAGTTTCCCAATACTTATTCCAACCTTTTTGTTTTCTTATTTATTTGATGTTGTTGTTAATGGTTTAACAAAGCCTTCTTCATAAACTTTCAAAATAGCTTCACATACAAATCTGTATTGACTCTGAAAAACACAAGTAGAAAAAACAGAATCACTACAAAGTCCAGAAAACCAAAAACTAACATCTCACTTATTTTGCTTATTAAAAAACTTGAAAAGTGAAAAAGAGCAGAGATAGAAGTTTTTGTCCAATAGGTAAAAGTTAAGAAAAAAAATAACCAAAAACCCTCATATAATACTTTGTTGGCAAAACCAAAGACACTGCTGGTAGGAATGTTAAAGTACTGAAACTATAAAACGAAATTCGAAAGTATCTAACAAAATAATATTATTTTAACTTTGGAACAAACATTCTTACTTCCAGGAAATTCAATCAAAAGATAAACTGGAAAAAAAACCCTGAAATTATATATTCACTTCTTTAAAATAGAAAAGTGGAAACCATTTAAGTTGCCATCAATTTGCTATGCAGATAAAGCTGGCTTTAAACTCAAGAGATCCTCCTGTCTCTGAGTCCTGAGTCCTGGGATTAGAGGCGCATGTACTGTGGTAAGTGTCATATTATTCTGATAAGTGAAAATAAGCAAGGCATTTCAGGGACAGAGGTTTACAAATATACTAACACTAGAAAGACTGAAGCAAGAGTTCCATAAGTTCAAGACCAGCATAATCTACATAATGAATACCAGAACAGCCTGTTTCAAGAAGACAAGGCAAAATAAAAAAAAAAAGCATACAACACCAACCAAAAAAGACAAGGAAGGGCTGGGGAGAGGGCTCAGCAGGTGAGCACACTTGTGAACAAGCATGAGGACTTAGACTCATAGCTCCATTGCCCATGTAAAAAACCGGGTATTTCTGGAAGTGCTGTAAACCCAGTGTGTCTGGGCAGAGACAGATCATTAGGATTTTCTGGCTGCTAGCTCAGCTCAAGGTACAAATGAGAGATCCTTTCTCTGTAAAAAATCAAATAGAGAATAACAAAGACCACCTATATCCTCCTCATATATACTTGCACATTCAATCTCTATCTTTGTCTTTCTGTATTTTAATATTTAAAACAATATTAAAAGGTGAGAGAGAAAAAATATGTATAACATATATAAAAGGAAAATATAAATATATATTTAAAATTTATTGTTAGTTTAACTTTTTTAAGGAAGAAAATAATGAATCTTTAAAGTGTTTTCATGAAAGAATGGAGTGGAAAGGAGCAGAGAGGAACAGAGATCAGGTTTTTCCTCTTCCTCCTCCTCCTCTTCTTCCTCTTCCTCTTCTCTAATGATTTATTTACTTTTATTTTTTCTGTGCATTGTTGTCATGTCTGTGTGACAGGAACTGGAATTATAGACAGTTGTGAGTTGCCATGTGGATGCTGGGAATTGAACCTGGGTCCTCTAGAAGAGCATCCCAGTGAGTGCTCTTTAACTACAAAGCCACCTCTCCAGTCCCCACCCTTCTTCTTTTATAGATTTAAAATATAAAACTGACACTATCCTAAAACAAATCAACAATGCCTGTATCAACCTGATGACATAGCCACACTGATCAGCTATTTGCAGGGATTTTAAGCTGGTAATTGATTATGTTTTGGAGTTATATCCAAAGTTCAAATAAAAGTGGAAAACCAGGAACTCTTCACAATCAGCACTGCCATTCTGAAACTATGGCAGGGCATGTAAATAAAATAGAAATTTTTTTTTAATATTCTTAGTCTTACTGCTGTCCTAGAGAAGATATATTCTTGTTAAACAAGAAAGGAGAAAAAGGTAGATAAAGTTGTTAAGTCCATAATACAATATGATACAATTCACATTATATCATGGACGTGTATGTTCAGACACATGAAAGTATAGAGAAACTTATCACTAATAAGAATACCGAATCCCCAGAAGTCAAAGAGTAGCATCTAAAATAACAGAAACAAGAATTACTAGAGAAATTAGTTTCCAAATCTGGGTCATAAAATATAAAGCTGGCTTATCAATCTTTTCTGTTATCAAGGAAGTTAAAAAGATATTATGGTCTTAAGAAAAGGACTTAGAAACTGAGGTTCCTGCTGGCCAAAATATAGGATAATTTTGGGTGCTATCGAGAAAAATATTGAAAACACATAAAGTATGTTTCAATTCATTCCCTCCCTACATGCCTCCCAAACAGGATCTCACTACGTAGCTCCAGTTTTCCTAGAACTCACTACGTAGACAAAGCTGTCCTCAAACTCACAGATATCCACCTGCCTCTGCTTCTGGAATGCTAGGACTAAAGGTGTGCACAAATACAACCAGCTAGGTTCACAATTTTTAAATTGTATCAAAAGAAACAAAAGTCAGTTGTTGGCACTGGAGTAAACCCACAGTGAGATCTGAGCTCGGTGACAGAGAGAGCACTCGTACAGCATGCACGAGGCCCTGGATTCCAAGCCAGCACTGTAAAACACAATAAAAAATAAAAAAAGCACTTGGAAATCAAGGGAAATAATTAAATATTTATCTTCTAAAAAAAAATCATTCTAGGACCTAGAGAAATCGCTCAGTAGTTAAGAGCTACTTTTCCAGAGGCTCTGGGTTTGAGTCCCAGCACCCATGTGGTGGCTTACAGCTACCTCTAACTCTAGTTCCAGGGAATCTGATTCCTCTTCTCACCTCGAAGAGTACCAGGAATGTACATGATACACATACATATATGCAGGTACATATATGCACATACATATGCATACATATATGCATATATACATATATTCATATACAAAAGTAAAAATAATAAATCTTTAAAAAATCATTCTAGTTAATAAATGAAGTGGCCTAACCCACTGTACACAGTGCCCATTTCTAGGCATGGAGGCCTGATCTATATAACAATGGTAGTCGAATATAGACATGGGAACAATCCAGTAAATAGGAATAATTTAAAAACCTATACTCTATTACATTGGAAAATATAAAAAAATTCACAAATTTCTAAATTCATACGAGACACCCACCCAAGTTAAGCGTTAAGCAAAGAAAAGATTTAACAACCTAAACAGACCCATAACAAATAAAGACATTAAAAACAGTAAAAAATAAAAATCCCAGGCCCAGATGAATTGATAGAATTCTACTAAATTTTTAGATTATCTCCAGCCAAAAAAAAAAAAAAAAGAAAGGAAAGGAAAGGAAAGAAGAAAGAAAAGAAGAAAGGAACACTTTCAAAGTTCAGTATTATTTTGATTAATAATAATAATAACAGTAATAGTAATAATGAAAACAACAGGCCATTATCCCTGATAAACATGAATAAAATATCCTCAATAAAATATTTGCAAACTTAAAACATATATCAAAAATATTATCTACCATGGCCAAGTTCACTTTACCCTTTGATGCCAGGATGTAAGTCCACAGATATATCATATGAATGAACTTAAAAATCATATGATCATATCAAAGGATGTTGAAAAAGCCTCTGAAAAAAACAAATGTTTTCATAACAAAAACCCTACAGAGAGTAGGACTGGAGAGAACATACCTCAAAATAAAAAAGGCTATCCATAACAAACCCACAGTCAACATTATCTTAAATAAAGAGCTCTGAAGCAATTCCATTAAAATTGGGAATGGGATAGGGTTGTCCATTATCCCCACCACTTTTCAAAATAGTGCTGGAAGCACTTGCTGGAACACTAAGGCAGAAGAAACTGAATACAAACAAGAAAAGAAGAAGCCAAACTACAGCTTCTTTTTTTTTTTTTTTTTTTGTTTTTCGAGCAGGGTTTCTCTGTGTAGCCCTGGCTGTCCTGGAACATACTCTGTAGACCAGGCCAGTCTCGAACTCAGAAATCCTCCTGCCTCTGCCTCCCAAGTGCTGAGATTAAAAATGTGCACCACCACTGCCCGGCTCCAAACTACAGCTTCTTACAGATGACTTAATATTACATAAGAGGTCCCAAAAATTCCACCAGAAATCTTCTAGAAACAACAAATTCAGCAAAGTGGCAATATAACTCTACTTATAAAAATCAAGAATCTTTCTATGCAGCAAGAACAACATGCTGAGAAAGAGATCGTATATATAACTCTATTCCCAGTAACCTCAAACATAAAATATCTAGGAAAAAACCTAACCAAGGAACCCTACAATGAAAAATAAAAAGACATACCAGACTTCATTAAAATTTAAAACATTTAAGTTATTTATTTATGTGGAGCTATGGATTGAAACTAGGGTCTTATATGTGCTCTACCACTAAATTACATTTGTAACTCAATATTTGGGTTTTAAATGGTATTGTTAAGAAAAAACAAAGCAAAAAACCAAAAACAAAACAAAACAAAAATTAAACCAAAACAACAACAAAAGAAACACACAAAGGCCAGCAAACAAGATGCTCAGTGGTTAAAAGTGCTTGCTGCTTGATAACCGAAGTTTTGTCCCTGACTCACAAGAAGAAAAGGAGAATCTACTTTTGTAAATAGGCCTCTAACTTTCCCAGGTGAGCAACTGCATGCCTTGAACCCACTCACACACATGTAGCACACACTAAAAAAAATAGGAACTTTTCAAATAAATAGAAAATGTAGTGAAAAGAGAATGAAAATATTTAAAAACAGAGGTTTCATAAAATATTTGTACCTAGAAAATATAAATCTGACAACAAAAGGACAATTAAAATGAGCAAAATAAATTTGGAAAGAAGATATTTGACATCATTAAGAAAATGCAAATCAAAGTCACAATAATACTTCATATTCAGATACAAAACAAAATCTTGCCTAATCAAGGTACATGTTGATGATGTTAAGAAAATAGAGCCCTTATGTATCATTATTGGAAATATAAAACTTTGTCCTTAGCTGAGGATACAGCTCAGTAGTCAAATGTGTCCTAGCTCACTGACCCAGTGATTTTCCTCCTGTGTATACCCAACAAAAAAGACATATGTAACATAAGTGTTCATGGAAGAACAACAAATCATAGAACAGGAACACTCAACATACAATATACAAAGTGTGCTAGAGCCATATAATAACACACTATTCCACAGGCAACGGAATGAAGTACTGACACACATGGGGGCAGACATTAACTGATTCAGTGTGGTATAGCCTGGGGTGAAGGGACAGCTGAAGAGAGTACTGGGGGAAACAGGAATAAGTGCTGAAGGACAATGGAGTTTCTTTTATAGGATGATAAAAATGTTCTAAAAACAGAGATGATGGCTATTCTCTGTGACATACTAGAAACCACTGAAGTAACACTTTAAAAGAAAAAATTTATGGCATGTGAATTGTATTTCAATAAAGTTCTAAAATTCAAAAATGAGTTTTTTATGGAACTGGAAATTTGGACATTATATGGTAGTATTAAGAAATTATAATTACATTTAAGTGGGACAGCAGTATTTTTTAAAAAGACAACAATTTTATCTTTTAGTTACATGCTAAAATATTTATGCCATCAAAGATTTGCTTTAAATAATGGGAAAGTGAATAACTGTACAAATAAAACTAGTAGGCAACTGTTGGGTATTTATAATATTTTTATTATATTACAATGTTAACTTTTGAGTAAGTGTAAAATTTTGTGTATTTAGAAGCTTAGAAAATGGCAAGTATTTTTTAGAGTAGTTAGGTCAGTAAGCACCAAAAATCTTGTTGCTACAAACAATGCCAACATTTTACTGTGGTTTAATTAATACAAAAACCAGTCTTAACACTAGTTCTAAAATTTCTTGATTCTTTTGATTATTGAGGTAAAATGAAAAATCAGTGGAGAATATAATAAATAAGTAGCTTAATTTCTAGGAATTTTGTCATTGTTATGCAATGTTCGCATTGCACATTTCATATAACATGCAATGTTCTCATTGCAATGTTATGCAATTTAGGTTCTCAGGAAAAGGGAAGGCTTTCTAAAGCAGCTGTGGTCCTAAACAAAGCTCTGCCCAGACCTCCAGTTTAGGGTTACTCTCACGGACAGCATTCCTCTTGACTAAACAACCCAAGACTAGTGCCTACATCTAGCAAAGCACTCATGAGTTAACATGCTGACCAAGCTGTTCTGTAAAAGGTCAGATAGTAACTATAGTAGACATCGCCGGCCACAGGTATCTGCTGCAACTTCTCTCAGCTGCTGCAGCAGGAAAAGCAGAGAGACACAGCACACACACAAAATGAACATGGCTGTTTTCCATCATATTTTTATCTATAATACCAAGAGCTATTGACTATTATACTATAGAGAAATAGTTTCTGAGTGGGAATTAAAACGATAAAGGTATAATTTAGGAGCAGGCTTGAGGCACATACTTGTCAGGAGGCTGAGGAAGGAGATGGAGGAGTTGGAGTGCAGCCTTGGGTACATACTGAGTTCTAGGTCAGCCTGGGCTACACAACAGGACTCTCTCTTTCTCTCCCTCTCCCTCTCCCTCTCTCTCTCTCTCTCTCTCTCTCTCTCTCTCTCTCTATCTCTCTATCTCTCTCTCTCTCTATATATATATATATATATATGTGTATGTGTGTGTGTGTGTGTGTGTGTGTGTGTGTGTACATTTGTGTGCAAGAAAAAAAAAGATATAGAATGAAGAGTAACCACAAGATCCACCATGTTTAGGAGGCAGGGGTACACACAAAGCACAGTCCTTACAGGGGTCTGGATCATCATGGCTCTTTGATCTCTCATTGTTCTCACAATGTCTAGTGGATAAACTGGCTGATTGCATTCAATGAGACACATGGCAGTTTCCATAGTAATAAGAACCCCAGTCCTTCCAATTCCAGCACTGAAAAAAGACAGACAGATGTGCAAAGTTTTAGTGGTACAATTGTTAAATTTCTGGCTTTTCTGTAGAAATATCAAAGTATCAAATCACAATAAAGAAAAACAATTTCATTTTAATATTTTATTTCATAAAACTAGCAAGTCAACTGCTTAATATTTTAAATCCATTCTAAAATGCAAATAGATGCAAAATAAATCGTTAACAAATACATAAAAGACAATTATGGTTTTTGTACCTTATGTAAGTTAAAGTTTTAAACAAAGTTAAGTTATATCAAATTTACCATTGAGCTACTTTAAAAAAAAAAGTATAACCTACAATCATGTCTATAGTAGCTACTGAAGATTTCTAAAATATAAAGATTCATATGTCTCACCTTCTTGACAATGCATCTTGGTATTTTTTTAATTATTTTGTATGGATAAGTATTTGCCTACATGTATGTAAGTGCACCATGTGCCTGTGCCTAGTGCCCGCAGAGGCCAGAGGTGACATCCCCAACAACAGGAGTTATAGTTAGTTGTTAGCCACCATGTGAATGCCAGGTCCTGAACCCTGGTCCTCTGACTGAATCCTCCCTCCAGCCCTAACAGTGGACTCCTAAAAAAAAAATTATTTTTTTGGTTAGCATACAAAATGATGAATTTTATGACATTTTTCCTGCATAACATGGTACTTTTCTCTCTTGCACTCGCCTCCTGCCACCTGTCCCCTTTTTGGTTTCATATGTAGATATTAAATACATGTATATTTAAATCTAGATTCCTATAAGAAACATGGCCCCTTTTGTTCTTCCCTCTTCCCTTTTCTTCTTTCCCTTCTTGTCCCCTTCTTACTTGCATGTCTTCAGAATTTTTCCCTCACTAAATATCTGCTCCCAAAAATCATATATTTCTGAACCTGACTTACTTTAATTTTATATGATCTACAGTTCTACCAACTTTCTTATAAATGATAAATTTTCATTCTTTACACTGAATTCATTGTACATATGCACCACATTCCTTTTTTCCATCTATCTGTTGATGGGCACCTAGGCTGGTTCCATATCTGGGCTATTATAAACAGCATACCAATAATAAATGTAATAATGTATACTTATTAATAATATATTAATAAAATAATAATAAAATGTAACCATATCTGTGATATATTGACCTGGCATCAGTGGTTCAAGTATATACTGAACTGTGGTATAGCTGGTTCAATATTCAAGGAACCTACACACTGATTTTCATGGAGACTGTAACAATTCGTATTTGAAGTAGCAGTGAATAAAGGTTCCTCTTTTCCCACATCCTCACCATCATTTATATCTATTTTCTTGAGGATGGCCACTCTGAGTGGAATGAAATAGAATGACAAACAAGTTTTAATTTCCATTTCCCTGATAACTAAAGGATATTGAATCTTTTTTTCATACATTCATTGGCTATTTGGGTTTTATCTTTTGAGAACTTTTAGTTCAATTTATTTGCCCATTTACTGAGTGGATATTTTGGTTTTGTTCTGTCTAGATATTAATCCTGTTAGATTTCTCACTAGCAAACAGCATCTCTTCACTCCACTGAGTATTTCGTTCATTGAGCAGAAGCTTTAAAATGTGATCCAACTCCATTTGTCAGTTCTTGCCGTTACCTCTAGAGCTATTACATTCTTTCAAAAAATTCCTGCTTGGATCATCAAATGTTTTACCCATGGTTTCCTCTATGAGTTTCTGGTTCTCAAGTCTTATGGTTTCTGATCCATTTTAAGTTGATACTTATACAATGTGAGAGGTATAAGTCTAAGTTTCATTCTTTTAAAAGCACAAATCCAGATTTTTCAGCACCATGTACTGAGGAGGTTGTCTTTTCTCCAATGCACATGTGTCTGGTTACTTTCTGTCAACTCGAAATGAACTAGAGTTACCTGGGAAGAAACTTCAATTGAAGAACTGACTACATTAGTTTGGCCTCTGGGCTTGGGGAGTATTTTCTTAATTGCTGATTGATACAGGAGGACCCAGACTACTGTAGGTAGTGCTAACCCTTGGCAGGTGTGCCTAGGCTATTTAAGAAAAGTAGCTTAGCAAGTGAGGAGAAGTAAGTGAGTAACCATTGTGATGGTTCTTCAGTTTCTGTCTCCAGGATCCTGCTGTGAGTCCTGCCCTGACTTCCCTTCATGATGGACATAAAATAAATTCTTTCTGTCCCAAGTTGCTTCTGATCAGTGTTTTTTCACAGTAGAAGAAAATCAAACTAAAGCAGAAACTGGTACTAAGAGTGAAGCCTTGCTGTGATGGACCTGACTATGTTGTTTTTATGCCTTGGGATGTCTTATGGGAGAAATGTGGAGGGTTTGGAGCTTTGGTCTGGAAAGGTCACTGAGTGCTTGGAACTTAATGAGTTGCAGGAAAATAATGCTGAAACCAACACAGATGATGGAGGACTGGCTTGTGAAGTTAGAGTGAAATGTTTGGAGTCCGTGAAAACAGTCAATTGAAGCTGTTAATATATTTTTAATTAAAAATTGGCTATTTCTAATCAGCTGGGGAAGAAAAATCAGTGATTATTAAGAGATCAACACTACCCAAGCAAAAAAGTATGTTGTCAACACTTGTAAAATGTTAGATGTAATTGTGTGTATTTACTTCTGGGTCCATTATTCTAGCCACTGGTTTGTGTCTGTTTCATGCTAGTATCCTGCTGTATTTGACACTATAGCTATACAGTATAATTTTAGATCATGTATTATGATACTCTCTGCTTACGATGTTTTTTTGTTTGTTTGCTTGTCTTGGTTAGTTGGGGTCTTTTGTGCTTTCATGTGAGTTTTAGGATTTTTCTGTTGCAGTTCTGTGGAGAATGTCACTAGAATTTTGACAAAGATTATGTTTAGTCTGTTAAGTTTCTTTTAGTAACACAGCCATTTTTATAATTATAGCAGCCCATGAGTGTGGTAGGTCTGTTCATCTTTCAGTAACTTTAATTACTTTCCTCAGTATTTTAGCATTTTTATTATAGAGGTCTTTAATGGTCTTAATTATGTTTATTCCTAGGTATTTTATTAAAGCTATTGTGAATGGAACTTCCCCACTGAATTCTTTATTGACAAGTTTGTTACTGATCTATATGAAAGCTACCTATATGTGTTTGTTGATTATACTAAAACAAGCATAGAGCACTATACTGAATAGGTATTGTCTAGTTTCTGACTATACAGGAAATGTGTTCACTTTTTCTGCTATGGTATAATGTTGGCTTCTGGTTTATTGTAGACTTTATTATGTTGAGGGCATGGTTCTTTCTTTTCACTTTCTTTCACCTTTTGTTCCCATTTCTTTCTCTCCCTTCTTTCCTCCTATAATTTTGTTGGTTGTTGTTTTGGTTGGTTAATGTTTGCTTTTTTTTCTTTTTCTCTCTCTGCATTAGGAATTTCACTGACTTATTTTGTTCAACATGCTAGGATAGGTTTAAGCATCCTTTGCTTATTTAGCCCTCTCATGAAAATACCTCTGTCCTGTGCTCTCAGTTGTTCCTACTGCCCTATGTTTCTGCTCCCTTTGAGTATCTTCTGCAATGCTGACTTAGTGGTCATGAACTGTTTTAGGGCTGAAATGTCCTTACTTCTGTTCATATTAAAAGGCACTTTTGTTGGATAGAGCAGTTTTATTGGCTATTCACTTTTAGGACTTGAAATATACTATTCTATACTTTCTGGCCTTTAAAATTTCTGTTGTAAGATCTGATGTGTCCAGGTGGTGGTGGCACACGCCTTTAATCCCAGCACTTGGGAGGTAGAGGCAGGTGGATTTCTGAGTTCGAGGCTAGCCTGGTCTACAGAGTGAGTGCCAGGACAGCCAGGGCTATACAGAGAAATCTTGTCTCAAAAAACCAAAAACCAAAAAAAAAAAAAAAAAAAAAAAAAAAAGATCTGATGTATTCCCATCCACTCAACAATCAATTTACTATTTCCAACACGGTAAGTGTTTAAGTGTTTTGCCTGCAGTTATGTATGTGCATCACATGCCCGAGGAAGATAGAAGAGGGCATCAAATTCCTTGGAACTAGACTCAAAAAGACAGTTATAAGCTTCTGTGTAGGTTCTAGGAATCAAAGGCAGGCCTTCTGCAAGAGTAGCCAGTGTTCTTGACTGATGAGCCATCTCTCCAGTCACTATGCTTGCTGTTATAAGTGAGCTGCTGTTTTTTCTCTTACAGTGTTTGTCTTGTATGGAAAAGAGACTCACTATGTAGTACTGGCTGGCCTGAACATCAAAGATCCTACTACCTTTGCACCAAGGTATGTTCCACTATGCCTGGTTCTCCTACATTTTTTAATATTGCTGTTTTTTATACTGTGGCATCTTGAGTATACTGTACCATGAAGAGGTTCTTCCCTGGTCATGTTATTTGGGGTTCTAAATACCTCCTGGGCGTAGATGTTCATTTCTTCCCTAGATTTGGAAAACTACTATACTTTCTTTGAATAGATTTTCTAGACCAGCTTTTACATGTTGATTCCTTCTACCCCACAGATTCCTAAAGTCTGTCTCTTGATCATATCCTACAGTTTTTGAAAGTTGTGATTGTGAATTTTTGTTTGCTTGCTTTTAAACCACCATGTTTGCATAGTATTCTTTAGCCTTGCCCACAGTCCTAATATTCTATTATTGTTGCTGCTTGGTCTAGTCCATTGGTGATGCATTCTACTTTCTATATTTTATTAAAAATTTGTTCCACCAAAGTTTCCATTTCCAACATTATTATTATTTTTTTTGGTATATCTCAATTTTCTTGATTAATTTCTTACTCATGTACAAATTAACTTTTCTATCCACTTTGCTTACTTTCTCCTTTATGTTGCCAGTTTTCTTTCCAAGTCACAATGTGAAATTCTTAGTTCATTCATCTGCTTGTTTGTATTTTCCTTAAAGTCACTAATGATTTTTACAGGAAAATGTTTGGATTAATCCTGTATTTTACTTGTTTTAGTATGTTCAAATTTAGTAATCAAGAAGTATTACTGTGTCCTAATTGTTGGTGTGAATTTTTCTTCCACTTTAATTTGGGAATCTTTCTATCTAGGAGGCTATTCTTGCAGGGTAAACCCCCAATACCACTCAGGGAGGTGAAAACAAATTGGTAACCCCTCACTGAGTAGGATATAGAAACACAATTAAACTGATTAAACTCCATAACACACCGTCAATGACCAAAGAAGAAAAAATGGCAAAATGAATGTTAAGTATACTCTGAAGTTAAAAATCATTTATAGCAAAGGTAGAAATAGTAAGGAATGGGATAAAGAAAGAAAACAGGAAACACAAGAGAAAACAGAAACACAAGAAACAATGTTAAATAAAAGGAAAAAGAAGAGTAGAATTAAGTTATAAATGGAGGAGGAATCCCCCACCAGGGCAAAGCTGGCCCCATTGTCATGGGCACAGGAGAGCTGGGGGCCTGACCAACTCACATGCTGGGAAGGGGCAGGTCCTACAGAACCAAAGCTGCAGCATCTTCATGACACAGGGCAAGTAAAGGATATCCAAGCGATATCCAGGCAAGAATCCAGTATTGATGGTGTAGCAGAGGTCAGAGGCCTTGAACCCAATGACTCATTGAAATAAACATTTGCAACTAAAGCAAATGAGGAAAAAACGGAGAAAGAAAAGAAGAGACGAGAAAAGAAAAGAAAAGAAAGAAAAGAAAAAGCTTGCTGATTAATGAAAAACAAAAACAGCTAAACACAAAGGAATTAAAAAGATAAAAACACAAAAGTTCTATTTTGTAAGATGGGGTGGCAGTACACACATGCAACTCCGGTATTGGGTAGGTGGAGGATCAAGGATTGTGAGTTCAGGGCTATCCACAATTACAAGAAAAAAGTATAAAGACCAGCCTAAGGTTATATGAGACCTTTTCTGAAAAATGTTAAAATAAGAAAACATTAAAATAAAGTTAAAATTCCACTAAAAGTATAGTAGGGGAAAAAATCCACAGGAAATCCAAAGGCAAAAGAAGAAAGATATCATTTAGATCTGCTGCTGTTCATATGGGCTAAGCTTCAGAGGCCCACAGGGCTTCTTCACTGTATTAGTTCCCCTTCTTTGTGTACTAGCAGCCTCTGCTGGCCACACTTAGCCTTGCAATCTAAAACTGAAAAATACATGCCTGTTTTTATAAATTATCCAGTTTTAAACATCTTGTTAGCGGGGCAGTGGTGGTGCATGCCTTTAATCCCAGCACTTGGGAGGCAGAGGCAGGCGGATTTCTGAGTTCAAGGCCAGCATGGTCTACAGAGCGAGTTCCAGGACAGCCAGGGCTATACAGAGAAACCCTGTCTTGGGGGAAAACAAACAAACAAACAAACAAAACCCTACAAAACAAACAAACAATAAATAATCTTGCTATAGTAATACAAACACAGAGAAATAAGGCTACTATTTCATCATATTCAAGTTATAGTAAATTATAAGAAACATTCCAATGAAGAGATATTAAAATAGAACCAGAAAAATAAGTATTGTTTTTATCCTTTGCATAGTTTCTTACACCATTAGAATTTTCTCTATCACAGAATTAATCACAACAAAAAGCCAAAATACAGAATGCATTCCATAGAATGTACTTATTCATTTTTTAGGGACAGGAAATAAAATACCTGCAGTGAACAATAATCGGCTCTTCTTTTCCAGCCCTCTTGTTTCGTACATGACAAACAAAATCCAGAAAGTCACTTGAATCATCAGGTACTCCATGGTCAGGCCAGGCTGTGTACTGAATCTGAGTGAGTTGACGACTCTCATTTTTCTAAATGAAAATGAAAAGGTACACATTTTGACTTAGAAATTACCTTTAAAATACAAAATTCTTGTTATTTTAACTTTAGAAGGAAAGTAAAACCACCTTTCCTTTTCCTCTTGCCACTGTGTATAAACTCACTTAAATACAATAGATGAACAGAAGGAAAACATTTCACAGAAATAGTTCTATCCTTGTAAGTACTAGATACATTGCTATCCTTTTTTTTTTTTTTTTAAATAAAGGTTTTCCGAGACACAGTTTCTTTGTGTAGCTTCTGTCCTGGAACTAACTCTGTAGACCATGCTGGCCTTAAATTCATAGCGATCCACCTACTTCTACCTCCTAAGTGCTAGGACTAAAGGTGTGCACCACCACCATCCGGCTACATTGCTATACTTTAATAACTCGATTTTTATATCTATAAGGTATTTTGAACATGGCAATCAAATAAATAGACAGAAATAAATTACCTAATAGAAATTCCATGTGAACAAAGATGGTAAACACTTTTCTGAGTATGAACAAAACTTGAGATTAATTTTTCCATGACATGAATGACATTATTAAGATTAGAGGGTACAAAGTCCCAGGAGAATGAAATGGCTAAGCAGCTAAGAGTGCTTGTGGCCAAGAATGACCATCTAAACTCAATCCCTGGGACTCACATGGTGGAGCAGAAACCAGACTCCTCCAGGTTGTCTTCTGCACTCTCTGATCTCCACAGGTGTACCATGACAAAACCACAAACACTTGCACACACATAAATAAGTATAAGAAAACATTTAAATACAAAATCTCTCAAATACATAGATTAAAAATTAGAGGTCATAGAAACACAAAGTTCAATAAGGATTAATTCTATGTGGTTGGGGTGGGGAAAGCAATGATGGATACGATAAAGTACAAATTTTGGCTCAAATCCTCAGCCTGACTCTGCATGTTCTGTCATTTAACATTTCAGAGGATTCTTCTTTCAGGTGAAAAATGAAATGACAACTACAGCTCCACAGCATCTTTAGGTTTAAAAGGTTTAATAAAAAGACTAAATCATATCAAATAATATACTAACACACTTAAAACAGGATATACCTATCATTCAACATCATTCAGTCTGCGGACAGCCATTTATGTTAAAGGGAGATGATGAATAAAAAGACAGGTATCGCTCAGATCACTAAGACCAATATCTCAGCACAGATGAGATTCACTTGTCTCAGAGACAAATGGCATGGATAAGAGAGAAAGACAGAAAGAGTCAGAGGGAGAAAGGAAAGAAAACAAGGGAGAGGGGGAAGGAGCATTTGTCCTTGGGGTAGGGGTGAGGTGGGTGCTGACAAAGAATTCATTCAAATAAGAATAAATTAAGGATATACTGTCTAGTTTATGGTATAATGTACCAACCTGTAGGTTAAATCATTAAGATAGTTCTTTATCATTATTGTCCTAAGCAGGCAACCAAGAGGTAGGCAAGTAAGCTTATGTGTGTGTATGTGTGCATAGTAATTTCTATCTTCAACACAGTCCTTTTTCTTAGAGTCTAACTATAGATATATACAGCTATATATAGCCAGATATTTTTATTTGTATAATCTGAGTACCTTAGAACTATGTAAAGGTAAGAGTGTGTGTGTTTGCGCACATGCACATGGACTATGTATTATGTGGAGGCCAGAAAAGTCATCAAGTATCCTCTTTTATTACTTCCTACTTATTCCTTTAGGACAGGATCTCTCCCTGAACCTGGTCCTTGCTCACAGCTATGGTAGAACCCAGAAAGCCCCAGGGATCCTTCTGTCTGAATTCTCAGAGCTGGGGTCACAGGCATTTGCAGTTATGTCTGGCTTGTTCTATCAGTGCTGAGATCTGAACTTTCCTTATGACTGATCAGCAAGTGTTCTTTTCATTTTGTTTTTAAGAATTACTTACTTATTTTATGTATATATGAGCACACTATAGCTGTCTTCAGACACCAGTAGAGATAGCATCTGATCCCATTACAGATGGTTGTGAGCCACCATGTAGATGCAGGGAATTGAACTCAGGACCTCTGGAAGAACTCTTAACCTCTGAGGCATCTCTCCAGCCCCCAGCAAGTATTCTTAACTGATGATCTATCCTTCTAGCCACCAGATGAGTAACTTTTATTTCTTAGTAACTAGTCTCAGATTAAAAGCATTTTTAGCTTTCAAAGTCTTTAAAGCAGTTCTTATATACAAACACTCTTGACTTCTTACCTCTTGGTTAAACAGTGTCATCTTCCTAAAGATATAGGCAGGGTTTCCTTCTTCAGAGTGGCAGGTGACTTGATAGCATCCATAGGATGAGCTTCCTGAGGGTTCTGGCCAATACTGGTGACATTTAACCTGATTGTCATCAGATTGAATACAGAAAATTACATATTTAGGCATAATATTTTGGATTCTCCAACTTTCAAAATGATGTAATTTTTAAGAACTTTCAAATTTATGGGAAATAATTCTCATATATCTTTCACTTAGATCTTCTAGCTACTAATATTTTTGTGTGTACATATTGTATGAATATGTACTTATTGTATGAATGTGTCTGTGCATGTATATAAGTGTATATGTACACACTTGTAGCACAGTAGTCAATATTGGATATCTCCCATCACTCTTCTGGTTGATTTGAGAAAAGGTCTGTCACTGTATTTGGAGCTCTTCTATGGCTAGGCAAGCTGCTGGTCGCTGAGCACAGGGATCAGCTTGTCTCTGCTCTGGCCATCCAGCTCTAGGGCTACAGATGCATACTACCAGATCTAAACGTTACGTGAGTGCTGGGGATCTCAATTCAGGTCCCTGTGTATGCATGGCAGGCACTTTACTTATTCGGCCATCTTGCATGGTCATTATTCACTGACATTTTAAAACACTTTCTAAACAATCTGTTTGGCTATATCCTGATTAGAGTTTTACCACAGGTGTGTATGAACATGTATACATGTATGTGTGTATACTATATAACCTAGCCCTATTTCTATATCACTGAGCCATTTAAAGTGCAATTGCTTTCAGAACACTTCATAGAACTCTGTAAAGATTTCCGTAAACACTTTAGAACATTTTCACTGTGCCCTAAAAAACTCATATACCGTTTAGTAGTTGCTATACTTTCTCTCTCATTTCATCTTTTTTTCCCAAACCTAGACTTAGGTATCTACTAATCTACTTTCTGTACTTATGAATAGCCAATCACAAATGTTTCATAAAAATAGAATCATACAATTTTTTTTAATTTTTCACTTAGCATAATGCTCTTCAGTGTTGCCCAAATTCTATTATCAGTATTTCAGTTACTATCAAATACTCTTCAGCATTAAACTTTAAACTTTTTAAACTTTAAAATTTAAAGTATTAATTTTAAATAAATACAATGATAAGAATGGTATTATTTGTGTTGCACATACTAGGTTGGTCAGTCTTAAGTACTTGGCTGAAATGTTTGAAACCATGGAATCACAACAAAAGATTAAAAGCTACAAGAGAATATTCTGAGTATATAAACACAATATAATTTGAAAAAAGCCAAAGTAATGTGTATGATTAAACTATAGCTTACTCTGCCACGTTCAACTTGTGTTGTCAACATCACAACCATGGAGGAGCCTTGTTCCCAAGTCATTTGCCAAAAATCTTTACAAGTATGTGGTAATGGCCCTTGACAAGCAATGTACTGATTTATAATACTTGAAGAAGGAATTTCCATCTAACAAGAAACAAGATTAAATTAAAAAATAATCTTCATTAATAATTTTACTTGTAAAAGAAATTTCCTGGCAATGTTCGAAGTTATACTTTTTCATTATTCCACTGGCAGAAGAAGAATTTAAAAACAAATATTTTCCAAACACTACCTCCTTTTGTTTTTTCTTCTTTGAGACAAGGTCTCACTATGCATCCCAGCATCTCAACTATTACAGGCATGTACCACCATTCTCACACTCTTATGGCTTAAGAGGCAGCATTACAGAGGACCTTTTTTAAAAGACAGCGAGTTTGTAAGAATATTTTTAAAAAATATCTATAAATAGTTTTTTGGTAAATTTTCTAAGGAAGAAAAATTCTGCCATTTATTTTAGCTAAACTATGCTCATTAGATAATGTAAAGAGCCATTAGAATAATGTTTACGTTTGTTTTTAGAATGAAATAAAACAAAAAATATAGGGGAGTCACAACTCTACATTTGAGGTTGATTTCAACAAGATGATACCTACATAAAGCAATTTAGAGAATACTCAAGGTTATATACTTGAAACTTGAAGTCTCTGTCCCAAACCAGCTTTCACTTATTACTAGAAGGTAAATTTGCTTTTCTACTTTCTAATACCTCTTTCACATGAACAGTCTGTACACAACAACTATTTTTCTATAAAACCAATTTTAAAATGATAGCACAATATTTGTGGTTTTCTGAATCCCATTATTTTTAAGATAATATCTAAATTAGTACCTAACTTCTTTCTTTTAATGGCTCTTCTTAAAAAAAGTATTGTTAACTTATTTAACAGACGTTTAAGGCATTGTGAATATTTGTTACCAGTAGCAAAGTAAACCGAACACTTCTCTAAACTTAACATTTTTAACAAACATAAAAATATACTTATCTTTAAGGTGAACAGTAAGAAATGAAAATGCTGGATGCAAATGTATGCACAACTCAACTTCTGACAATACCACACTGCTCCCCAAAGAAACCAGTCTACATTTCAACAAACAACACACAGGAATGCACGTAATTGATACTTGCCAGTATAGCTATATTCCCTTATCCATAGCTCTGAAAATACCAATAGTCGGAAATGCAAAACTGGTTTTGGTGTCTTAAACCTTGTCTTAACTTGAAGGCATTTTAAAGCTGACCTACTTGAAAGCATTTGACAGCAAAATGTGACTTTGACTGACCTAAAGGTTATTTATCCTCTATTAATCCCACGTGGAATATTTATATGAGTATAATAATTTTTTTTTCTTTTTGGTTTTTCGAGACAGGGTTTCTCTGTGTAGCCCTGGCTGTCCTGGAACTCACTCTGCAGACCAGGCTAGCCTTGAACTCTCGAACTCAGAAATCTGCCTGCCTCTGCCTCCCAAGTGCTGGGATTAAAGGCGTGCGCCAACACTGCCCGGGGGCATTATTTTCTATAGCACTAGTACATGGACTGAGTATCCTTTAAAAAAAAAATCTAAAAATTTTCAATTCCAGAGCATACTTGAAGGCTTCAGATAAAGAACTATATGTGTGTATGTTATCATCAAATTTTTGGTTTTTCATTTTCATAGGTAAATAGAAGAACTTCTATATAGTTTAATTTTATACTTTGCTTTATAAATTTAAACTTTCATTTAACTGTGTTTGATACTTATTTTTCTAAGTTTCATAATATTATTGTGGTGTTGCATGAAACAAACCAACAAACATCACAACAACTACTCCATGAGACATTATCTAAGGCCAAAAGAAGAAGCTGTGTGACAACTTAGATCACCCTTCCTATTCCTTTGATGAAGGGTCCTCATGACTGTGCAGAAACCTTAACTGCTTTGTCATGTCTCTAGCCCTATAACTGCTAAAGTTACTATGTAATTTCAAAACAGGAGGTGGGCTTTGTTGGTTATGTCTAGGCACAGTGGGGGAAAAACCATTTGAGTCACTGGATAAATATTCTTCCAGATGACATCAAAAGGCACCTCTTTCATTCTCCTCTTATACTGTCCACATACAGCCTCCATTACTGTGCAGTACCATATCCTTCACATCTTTGTGTTTATTGTGGGTAATTGCACATTTACAATCACAATGATGAAGTGCTGTATAATGTTCTTATGTGCAAGAAGGATGTAATATTATTTACCATGGAGAAAATGTAGATTAGCTTTCTTCATGAATTATACTTCAAATGCTACTGGCTATGCATTCAAAGTTAACAATGTTATTATTAAATAAAGGTTTAAATGAAGCTGTGCAGTGATTAGCTAATGAAGTGTGATTATATACTTACAAATACCTAACCGTCTTTTTGCCCTAGAAATGATGATTTGCTATTCCCTAGTTCATCATTTGCACAAAAGATCAAGGTTAGACTTTCAATAAAAAGGAGCTAACCTTAAAATTTACAATGGTTAGCCAGGCGGTGGTGGCGCACACCTTTAATCCCAGCACTTGGGAGGCAGAGACAGGCAGATTTCTGAGTTCGAGGCCAGCCTGGTCTACAGAGTGAGTTCCAGGACAACCAGAGCTACACAGAG